AGTTTTTTTTTGAAACCATCCAACTTTTTGAAATCATATATAAAAACTTGACAGCCGATATGAAGAGTTCTGAAAATGGTCAAAATAACCAAAAATCAATTGTGAAAATTTTTTACTGTACATTTTCTATTAGAATTATTCCATGAAAGCGAAATTTTTACATTTCAAAACCACTATTTTCTTAATGTTTTTTTTATTCTCGGGCTGTACTTGTTGTATACTTCTATTTATCAAAACCCCGACCTCAATACTCTGTTTTTTTTGTTAAAGTATTTCCCGTCGGGATTTCCCGACTATTTTGACAGAACAATTACTGAAAAGTACTGTTTTTTAAAGGCGCATTGGCGATGTTTTACAAACCTTTCATCAGTTACACCTCTGTGCTGAAAAATGAATACGATTTTTTTGAAAAAAAAAGTTGGATATTCAATTTTCAGAAATGGGTTTACCTAGCAAACTTGGTCCCGATATATCTCGAGACGGAAAAAAGTTTTCCGATGACACATGACGTGGAAAAACACGCACACACAAAACAGTGATTCCATATTCCAATGTCGCAAAAAGCGGCCATATCACTTTTCTAATTAAATCCTGCCGGTTTCTTCCAGCACTATTTTCCTTTCTCTCCTTGACACCAAGAGCTTCTCCTCATTCTTCGTCTTTCTCTTCGTTTCTTCCACGAACCGATTTCTCATTTCATCCTTGTTTCCAACGTCTTCTCACCATTCCCCTACCCCACTACCATATTCTTTTGACGTGGTGCGTGGTGCAACATCACAATGCAAACATTGCTTCCTCATTTTCTCTTTTTCTTCTCACTCTTTGGGATATATTGCCCTTATATGGAACTGGATGGGGCTTTTTAGAAATCACATTCTCCTCGGGATCTCATTGAGTTTAATTAACTTTTGTCGCGCAAAGTTGTGTCAGCCGACTCGTACTAGTGGATACAGTATACCAAGGACCTAATGTAAAACTTTTTGTTCGGAGATACATGAAAGTAATAAACTAATGGACTAATCTTGGTAAACAAATAATGGGGAGAGGTTTTTTAAAACAGAATAGCGTGGTTATGCGGAGGAAATAAGACTAATTTGTTTGTCACATGGGTGGCTAGACGTAGATGGGGGGTGGAACCATTTTTTTTCCAAATTATCCATGTGTTTTGGAACCTGAAATAATTGTTGTTTCTGTTGAAAAGTGCATTTAGGTGTACCAGAATTCAGAATATTGACTCTCTGACATCATTATTTTTCTAAACTAAGAATTTCTTGATTCCCAAGCACTTCTAATTTTCCACTCATGCACTTTTTTTCCAGAAATCTACAGTGCTGGGGATACATATATGAGAAAAAGTGTTTTTCAGTTGATTTTTATCATTTTTAGGAGTCTGGAGCTCAGCTGCCGAGTAGTAGCGAATCATTTTGAACATTTTGTAGGTTATGAAACAGACCTAGATTGAAAATTATGATGAATATACAATTTTTCGAAAATTCCTAATTTTTCAGTTATTTGCTGATTTCTGAAAGACACCCTTTTTGCCTATTTTCGTACTGTATACGGGTGTCCTTCGGAAATCGGCGAATAACTGAAAAACTAGGATTTTTCGAAAAATTGTATATGCATCATTTTCAATCTAGGTCTGTTTGATAGTCTGTCTTATAACCTACGAAGTTTTCAAAGTGATCCGACCGTGCCAGCCGAACTTCAGACTCCTAAAAATCAACTGAAAAACACATTTTTCATGAATTTATGGTCAGCACTGTTTAAAAGAAAACAAATCCCTTTGTTCTGATTTTCCGAAATCAGCCTAGATACCAGAGACCAAAGTTTAAGATATATCCAAAAATAGAGAGTTTCTTATGTTTCACTGAGCATTATATTTTTCTCCTCCGCACCCTTAATTCCTCCTAATTTCAAGGATAATTCCAAAAATAATCCCAAGATTATATCACCTTATCAGAATTGTTTAATCCAATTTTTAGAGACCTTCTTTTTGCTCTGCAATTTTTTTTATCTGGGATTTTTTCTAGGATAATTCTATCTTCTCTTCTTTCCCGCAGAATGATGATAATGTCATCGTTAAAAGCTTACGGGATGAAAGGAAAAATAAAACAAAATTCTTCAGTTCCTCTCATTTCACATCTTACGAAAATTACGAAAAATCTTCTTGTTTTTTTTCTCCGTCCGTTTCACTAGAGACCTTCACAAGTGGACCGGTGTAACATGAGAATCTCACAAATTCGCCTTTGTGACCGGAAGCCGAAAAATGAACCCTCTGTCCTGGAAATTGTCCTGTTGGTCACTCGTAGTACCATTCCAAGTGGGTGGTTTGGTTTTTTGTTCCACTACTATTATTATTACTACTAGGAAAACAAAAAACAACCCGATCAAGTCAAAAATCCCGAACACCCATCAAATTGAACGTTCTCGAAATGAATTTGAATTCCGAAATTCTGCCCTACACCAGGATCTACTAAATTTGATGACGCTGCCTGTGCATTGTGTTGTTATTGTCATTGTCGCCTATTTTTCTTATTTTCTTTCTCGTGTTTTTTACTTCGTTTTTCATTCACACCCATGGCTCAACGATCAGTCGAAATATACCGTCATATCATGCGGAAAAGAATAGAACTCGGAGGTGTGAAAATAGAACTTGCGTCTTAAATGAGCAACAAGAGAATTTTTATAATCTTCGGTACAAATCAGAAATCAGATTTGAGTGTACAGTGTTCGGAATGGCTTTTTTAGAATTTTTCGAAATGTCGAAAATTCCGATTTTGAAAAATATGGATTTTCGGAATTTTGGAATACTCGAATTTTCGAATTTTCAAATTTTCCGAACGTCGAAACTTTCAGATTTTCAAATAATTGAAATTTTAGAATTTTTTGTTTATTTAATACTCGTAAATTCAGAGGTTTCCGGTTTTGAAATTTTTGAAATTTTCGGAATTTTGGAATTTTTCAAAATCCATATCCTAAATTTGAAATTTCATTTTTCCATCACGCAACCCCCCCCCCCCCCCAAATAAGTGTACAAATTACAGAAAAATGTTGAAAATGCAAAATATCTGAAGTAATTTTGCCGGAAATCTATTTTGTTTTCGCAGCATACCGTAGTTCAAAAATCTTTAATTCCAAAAAAAAAGCTTTGTAAACATTCTGATCGGAATCGGATCCCAAAAGAAAGCTTCGGAAATATTCCGGCCGGAATTTCATTCCTTCGAAATTTTTGGAATTTTCGGTATTTTCGGGATTCCGTTCAGAACTTTCCCCGTTGTACTATAACAGCTAGACTGATTTGTTGTGGATCTTCTTTGGTTTTTTTTTTTAATTTTTGTCTGTAATTTTTTTCAAAGAACAACGATGTTCTTTTTTTTTTAAATAAGCAATTGATTGAAAACTACTGAATCAGCGTCTATTCAAATGTAGCTCGTGTTAGAAGTTTTAGTATTAAGAGTAAGTGAACACATATTTACAGAACTATGATGTTCATTTGGTCAAGCAAAAACCGATTGTTCACCTGATCACTGGCAAACTTCATTGTTTATCTACCAGTTTCTATCCCACGATCAGTTCTGTCCCTGGTTCCTACACGTGAATGGTTCTTTCCTAAGCGATCAACACATAAATCTTCTCCGAAAGTCTCTGCAAACTTTACAAACTAAAAATTGCAGTGGCATAATCCTCGTTTTGTAGTTCTGAAGCGGTTCTGGAAACCACAAATTTTCCTTTCCAACACTCACTTCAAAAAGCCCCGTGCCATATCACATATTCTATTTCTGAAGCGTAGGAAGTGTATCGCTAGTGTATGTACCAAGCACCTCTTGTCCCAAGTTGCTTAGGTGTGAGAAACTCGACGTGAGAACTTGCGAAGTGTTTCTTGTAAGTAGCAGTTGGGAGATTTTGATTTCAGACACTTTTAACAATTTGTAAGGTCTCTTCTGATATAATTCAAAACAAAAATGTTAGCAAATTTTTTTTTTCTCACCTCATTCTCATTTCAAAAAGCTCATAAAACACATCTGACAAAAAGTAGGCGAACATGTTATTAGTTTTTGAGAAATAGTTCAGCATCTGGCCCCCTTGGGAGACCCCTCTCAACGCCATTAACTTCTGAGATATGACTACTATCATTCATTTTAAGAAAAAAACCTGTTAATGGCTAGTACGGATATGATGTAAACTTTTTAAAATAAACTTTTTTGAACTTTTTCTAGTGAAAAAATGCTGAGAAACGGATGAGAAGCTGCACTCGGGAGGAAGAAACAAGAAAGAAGAAACAATATCATATTTCCTAGCGCCTTCTGTCTTTTTCACGCCTTCTCACTCTATTTGGTATCAGTTTTCCATTAAAAAATTTTAAAATTGGGGTATTTCTGAAGTGCAAAAGCAAGAAATTCAAAATTTTGAGTATTGAATTTTGATACGAGAAACCAAAAAAAAATAGAACGGAAACAAAACCATATAAAAAAAAAAGAAAAAGAAGAAACAAAAAATTTTATGCTTCGATGATTCTGGTTCTTGTTATTTTTTGTTGATTCATAGAATATTTAAAATTAATTTTTCCAGAATTCATTTCAATTTCTATGCTCAACTCTTGTGTCTTGTTCTCTTTTTCCCGTGAATGAATCTTCCAATATTCCCAAAACAGTTCTTTGAAAATTCGAATTTTAATTATCTCAAAGTTGCCATAGTTTTCATGTTTACCCATATCTCGTTTTTTCTTCTCTCTTTCTTGTCAAGTTAAAGATTCATATTGTAGGCGGCGCCGGCGACCCCATAGGAGAGAGGACACACGCCTTACTTGAGGAGGAGCCCCAGAGCCCTGCCCCCCGACCACACACCCCAGTCAACTTGGGGAGCCGAGAGCAACACAACCTGCTCGGAGACACAAAGAGTGACACGCCCACCCGGCTTCTTGAAGTCGTCCACAAATAATTCTGAATATTTCGCCAACCGACGACATCATCCTTCTCATGCCATTGATGGACTCAACAATGCCTTCTACCCCTATATTGACACCGGTAAATTCTACGAATGGAAGTACCAACTCAACGAACCCATTGCAAGAGCCCATGGAGATTCAATTTGAAATCATGTTTGTTATGGTGTTATACGCTTGTCTAGCAGTCACAGGAGTCGGAGGTAACTGTTGGGTTTTAATCAAAGTGGTCAAACAGCTATCTGGATGTTCCACGAACCGAAGTAGACCCTACAAAACGGTAGTCCAATCATCAGCCTACGTTTATCTCATTCTTCTATCAGTGGTGGACTTGTTGTCCCTTATCCCAGTTCCTATGATAGTCACTGATGTCTACGTGAATCACTTTCCTTTCGGATTATGGGCCTGTAAACTGAGCTACTTCTGTGAGGCAATCAACAAGTCCTTGAGTCCCATGGTACTGACTGCACTTTCTGTGGATCGGTACATTGCTGTCTGCCACCCAACTCTCTATTGGCTTCGAACCACTAAATTCTCCTTATGCGTACTTGCTGTCTGCTCTTCGATCTCTCTGATTTTCATCATCCCCGTGACCCAAAAAGCGACCATGCAAGTGATGAAAGACAATATGGATGAGGAGATTATGAAGTGTGCGTTTGATGGAGGATCTGCAAGTGTTCTTTTCGACTTGGCTCAAGCTATCGTGTGCTATATGGTTCCTCTCATGCTCATTTGTGGTGTCTACCTAGCTATTCTTCATAAACTCTACCGTCATACCCGTTTTTCAACTGTTGGAAAGAAAACAAGCATTTCTTTGGGTAGAGTCGTCAAGTGCAGTGTGATGGTGGTTGCTTTCTACTTCATTTGCTGGACCCCTTATTGGACAATGCGGTTTCACTATCTCGTTGTGAGGTTATTGGAAAAATACAGAGATGGTGAGTGACCTATCGAAGCTATCAAAGCTACCAAAGCTATCAAAACATCCATGGACCACTAAAGGGGTCTTGAGAGCGTCTATTTTTCAGGAAAGAAATTGTCTCTTCTCATTACTTTGTTTTTGTGTAGAGCTTAAGAAAATGAAGAACACATGAAATGACTGCAGAATTTCAAGTAGATTTTTTGAATTAGATTGACTTTTGAATGCCTAGAATCATTTTGACTTTATTCACAGTTCAACCACAACTATGTGTTGCTTTTTTCAGGTGGTCCCGTGATGATGGATGTTGTAGAGACGGTAACTGAGGCATTGCCAGAAGGAGTAGAGAAAACCTATTTCTTCGGGTTATTCTCGGAGAAACGCATGCACAACATCGAAATCGCCATGATCTACATTCTACACTCTCTCACCTACGCCCAATCCGCGTTCAACTGGCTCTTCTATTCCTTTCTCAACCGGAACTTACGCTCGAACACAGGCCGAGCAAATGGAACACGATCAGCCATTAACACATCCGTGTTTGACAACGGAAACGCAACCAGCACAGTCAACACGTCTCTAACGCCGATCTGGAAGAATATCCAACAAATGGGAAGTCATATCAAGACTGCTGGACTTGACACGCGTTCCGCGCTTATGAAAAAATCGCCGTTCAAGGGGAAATCCAAAATTCAGTCGAGGTGAGTCACAAAAACTTTTTAAAAGAACATTTCTTAATTTCCATTTTTCAGAAGCGCCGCCTACCTTGATTGTTCATCTGCTCACATGCTGCGACCATCATCTGAAAACACATTGAGCTCTTCACTTCTTGATATTCCAAGAAGGCCGTCATTGGTACCTAGACAAGAACCCTCTCTTGTCGGGAAAGCTCTCTCTTTTACGAACATTCCCCAACCCCAATATCAACGGATAGAACAGAAAGAAGAATCTTCTCACGGAGGAGTATCCGAGAGTTCTTCTGTCGAATGGCTGTAGATAGTGTTTTTTCGAGATTTATGTACTATTTTTGTCTTATTCATCTTTCTCCACATTGTTTTCCCACATCCCTTTGTAACTGTCCTCAGGTTTCCTACTCTTCTTGTTGTATTTTCCCTCCTTCCTGGTTTTCTTCCTCCATTCTTTTGTCTTCCGGTGCATTTTACGTTTGATCTACCCTTTAATTTCACTCAGCTCTTCAAGTCCAACCTTTTATTATCATATCACAGTAGCTTGTCTATGTCCCGTCTATCTACCGGTCCCTCATTCCTCCATCCCAGTTTCTGTATTTATATTGTGAGCTTGCCAAAAGAAAAATGTCCCTAAAAAAACAAAACAACAACAATTTATTGATATTAGAAAATAAAAACAGTGGATCTCGTGTATCTTTTTTCACTCTTCACCCCCTTCCTCGGATTTTTTTTTCAGTAAATAAATAAATAAATATTACGAAATCATATTATATTTTTCTGAAATATTATCTTTCTGGGAGCTAAAGCTTTATGCAGAAGTGTAGAAAAAAACAAAAAAGGACCACGGATCCCCTCATTCATAATTGGACTAGCATATCAAGTTTCATCATGTACTGGTTGATGGTTGGAATAAAACATAAAGTTTGGAGTATCAAACAATTTTTTTGCAAACAAATAAATTGACACAGGAATGGGGAAATTCCCAGATGTAGATTTGCAGGACGTGGGTGTCATGTTATTGAGTTTTTTTTGTTGCAAAATCAAGTTTTCCTTGTTTTTCATTAACTTTTGCCAAACAATGGTAAAATCTTTGATGCTCGGTCTACGGTTAAAGATTTCTCACATGCGTCAGCTTCAAGATTTCAATTAACTTTCTTGGAATCTGTGACTTCTCCAGGGATTACTGCTTTTGAATCATTGGTTGATACATAGGGGTCGCAGGTAAAAGTTGCTTTTTGTTTCATGACATCACAAGACAATCGACAAGTCTGACCAAAGACCTGAAGGAGGAGTTGTCCTAGAAAATTATTGTTTAGAAGATGCCTGGAACACTTATGCCACCGATTTTTTCAGATAATCCAGAAATCCAGACCTGTGACATCATTTCCTGTTCTTCTGAAAATCTGATTTCCAGCTAGAGTTATTCCTGAATTCTGTTTTTTTTTCTTCAACCTCATTTCCTTCTTCATTTTGTAATTTTCAGATATAGACATCACAAAAACAGAACACACAGCCAACGAGATGAATCTATAAATTATTCAAAATAATTCAGAAGAAAAAGAAAAATACCAAAATGTCCTTTTGAATACGTCTGAACGAACAAACAACATAAAAACAGCATAATATGAATGAAATTTTGAAAACAAAATGAATAAATAAGAGAAGACCTCCTTCCAGATGAGCCACATTTATTACGGTAACTGGTGGTGGTGTGTGTGTGTGACTCAAGTCTCAAGTAATTACGTCTTTTCTGTATTTTAGTGACAAAGTGGAGGATTAGGGCTCATGGGATGCGGGGAAGACTATGAAAAATAAATGGTGTTTTCGTTTTTTTTTCTGCGTTTTCGAATTAGTTGCCACAAGTGGGTTTCGAGAAGAACCGTGACAATAGCGTGGTGCCGAACTGCTAAACGTGGAAATAATTCATAAAAGTTGTTCGAGAGGTCTTTGGAAAATTCGTTTTTTTTTTGCATTTTCAAAGGTCGCCATGTTTCAAAATGCAAAAATTCAAATAAAAGTGGCTTATAAGGTTGGCTGAAAATACTGATTAATTTTCAAAGTTTCCATTTCACGTGCAACTGGTACGTACAGTACTAGTCAATAAGTTATTGAAAACTTTTTTTCAGCTGATTTTCGGTCATTTTGTCCATTTTCAGGAGTTTCGAGCTTGACTGTCCAGTTTTCGATCACATTGGAAATTTCGGAGAGTGTAAAACGGACCTAGATTGAAAACTTTGCATTCCCAGATTTTATTGAAAAATCGTAGTTTTTCAGCTATCTGACAGTTTCTGAAATACACCTTATTTTTTCAGTACAAATACGGGAAAAGGGAGTCTTTCAGAATTTCAAAGTGATGTGAAACTCAACAGCCAATCCCTAGAATTCTGAAAATGTTCAAAATTGCCGAACATCAACTGAAAGAAACATTTTTGTATATTGCCCAGTACTGTAGGAAGTAAGCTGAAGAGATTGTTTAAATTTCAGAGAGAATGATTTTCAAGTTCACAACAACTCAGTGCCTCAATCAATTCACGTGCAACCTATACATATCTACCAAGAAGAGTAGTTGTGCTGACAATTTGCCACTTTTATGGGAAAACTTGTTGCATCAGCCAATTTGAAATGTGCGATAAGCCGGTTGTTTCCACTGAAAATTGTATAAATTCGAGTGATAAGCCTTGACAATTGAGCTGAGTTCGAAGATGCTGGCTGCCTTAACGACTTTCTTTCTATTTTTTGCTCCGCTGACGTTTGTAGCATATAAAGGTAAATTATTCTAGTTGGCTTAACGAGGCCATCAGAATTTAAGCTTACAACTGGGCGATTAGCCAACGAGTAGCTGGTCTCAATAAGAAGACAGTCGCCATTTCTGGATGTGACTCTGGTTTTGGTCGTCTTCTCGCCGTCAGACTTGTTAATCAAGGAGTTCCAGTTATTGCTGGAGTGCTCCGGAAAGAAGTGAGTACTATTAGAGGACAATGAGCAAATAATAAGAAATAAATATTTTGAAGAATGGTGAAAGTCTAAAACGAGAAGTAGCTACTCCAAGTCTTCTCACTTTCGGAACTCTCAATGTTGGAGATGATGAGAGTGTCAAGGAGTTTGCGAAGTTAGTTGAGAGAACTGTTGAGACTCGTGGAGTATGGGGAGTGGTGGCTAATGCTGGAATTCTTGGAAATTCCGGACCGGACGATTGGTTGACAGCTCAGGATTATATCAATGTTAGTTTCGTTTTCACAGTACCTGTCAATAAGATATGCAAAAACGCGTTTTTCAGTTGATTTTGATCATTTTCAGGATTCTGAAGCTCCGCTGTCAAGTTTCCCATCATTCTGAAAACTTTGGAGGGTCCAAAATATGCCTAGATTAGAAACTGTCCATTGACATAGTTATCTGAAATATTCTAGTTTTTTAGCTAATTGTTCGTTTCTGAAAAGCATCTCTTCCGGCCTGTTTTTGACTTACTTTTCTCAAGTTTTCAGTGCAAAAAATGACCAAAGGGGTGTGTTTCAAGGAATCTCAAATAGATGAAAAAATAGGAACTTTCAAAAAGTTATGTAAACGCTAAGTTATTAATCTAGGTCTGTTTTACAACCTGTAAAGTTTTCGAAAGGATCCGACACTTGACAGCCGAGCTCCTGACTCCTGGAAATGGTCGAAATGTCCAAAAATTAGGTGAAATGCTTTTGTATTTCTTTTTGAACAGTACTGTATGTGAATCTAGGAACATGAAATTGTATATTCAGACCATGCAAGTCAACACCTTTGGAGTCATGCGTTTCATTCAGAACTTGAAAAAATTTGTGAAGAAACAAAGGGGAAGGTATATTATTCCATCTCATTTCAGATTTTCAACCAGAAAACTAATTCAGAGTTGTTATCATCTCATCTATCTCTGGTAGAACTCCACGTCCAACTGTTGGTCCATACTGTGTTTCCAAACACGCAGTAGAGGCATATGCAGACGTTATCAGGTAATTAAGACGCTGCGTTTGTTCAAATAACAACAATTTTTACGACAGACACGAATTGATAGACTTTGGTGTTTCGGTGCATTTGCTTGAACCAGGATTCTTCACCACTAATATCACACAAACGGCTACCAATGATTTGGATGCTGTCTGGGAGAGACTTGATAAGGAGACTAAGGATGAGTATGGAAAGCAATTCTTTGACGAATGTTAGTTACAATTTTCATTAGCATTCTAATTTAAAAAATTTCAGACAAACACTCTCGCTTCTCCCGCCTCTCTCACTGCGCTGACAACCTGAACCCCGTAGTCGACGCTTATGAACACGCTCTTCTCGGACAGTACCCCAAGACCAGATACTGGGTTGGATGGGATACTATTCTCTTTTACATTCCTTTGGCTACACTACCAACGTTTGCTCAAGACTGGTTCATCTCGTTCCAACGTCGCGGTCGTCCAGTTCCTGCTGTCATGAAACATTAGACATGAAAAAAATTTGTGAATAAAAATGAAAAACAATGATTTATTCCTTTGATATTAGACTAGACATGTGTCACACTTGTTTTCTTTCTATATATTGTAGTTTTTCCTTGTTTCACTAATGAATGAATGTTTTTAAAATAGGTAAAGAAGCGAATGCAACATTGTTTGAGTAAGCATTGAAAACATTATGTTTTAATCAAGAATGATGAAAAAACATAAAATGTTTGATGACGGAACACCGTAAAACATGTGTTAGAAAAACCATATTAATAAAGAATCCCAACTAGTCGAACGGCCCTACAAAAAGGACTTGCAAAAATAGAAAAGCCCTTGTAAAAAACAGCTTCTCAAAAAAATTTAAAAATTAAAAACTTCGAAAAAATATTTAAATTTTTCAAAATTTCGCAAAAAGTTTTCGAAAGATATTCTCGGTTCTTCAGATACAGGTTTTACGGTAATGACTATTTTGAAGTGTTAAATCTCAAGACGGTAAATTTTGTTGCGAAATAATGTAGGAAGTTGATTTGTATTGTATTTATTCTAATTTTTTAAACAACTATGGTATTATAAAATAATATCAATTGATAATTGGAGCCACTACAGTGTTAGCGAGTCCACAACTGTTCACTCCACGAGCCAGTCGAAAATATCTGTAAAAAATAATTTAAAGTTTTTTGATCAAGTCTTCGAAGTGAATACTTTAGGAAGAGAATAATGCATTACCATAAGGCTTACAACAATGGATTTTCCAGTTATTTTCTGCTATGTTGACGATTTTCAGAAATCTAAAGCGTGGCTGTCAAATTTCCGATCATTTTAAGAATTTTGAAAAGTGTAAAACAGACCTAGATTTTTTTTTAAACTTTGCATTAATAAAATCTTATGAAAATTCTATCTTCACAGCTATTCGCAGAATTTCGAAAGACACCCCTTATTGGCCTCTTTTCGAACTGAAAACGTATAACAACAGATGTTTCTCAGAAATCAACAAAAAGCTGACTAGGGAAGGTTGTGAACTCAGGTTGGAGTTTCGGGTCGAGACCTATATCATTCGAAAGCTGAGAACACGCTCGTTCCGAATCTTTTTTTCGTTGTTGCTGCGGACCTACCAGTTTCGAGAAAAATAGGTTTCAAATTTGGGTTACTCTGGATTTTTTACTGATTTTTTCAATTAAAATGGGAATTTTGGATCGCGTGAACACTAAATACTTACATAGAATTGAAACAATAGAAAATGTCGATTGAATGGCTCAGTGGTCTAAATTTGAAATTTATTTTTCTCGAAACTGGTAGGCCCGCAGCAAAAACGAAAAACAGATTCGGAAAGGACGTGTCCTCAGCTTTCGAATGATGTAGGTCTCGACCGGAAACTCCAACCTAAGTTCACAACGTCCCCTAGTAAAACGAAAATTTTCTAAAAATTGAGTGAATGCAACGTTTTCAATCTAGGTCTGTTTCACACCTTTTTAAATTTTCTGAACAATCGGAAACTAGATCCAATTCAAAGGAACCAAGCTCCAGACTCCTGAAAATCATTAAAATGACCGAAAAATCGACTGAAAATATGTTTTTGTAATTGACCGGTACTTGGACAAATTCCACATCAGGATACTCAATCTAAAATGCTCACTAACCCATCAGATCCCCATGACGTTCCCCACGAGTTCTTGACAATCCAATATGCGGATGTTCCTTCCCCTCCATATCCAACAATGGTCAACGCGTGAGCCCCCATAGACTTTTCAGCACAATCTTCAGCAGACGGATTGAAAATTCCGGAGCGATAGCTGTACATCGCCTTCACCACATTCATTCCTGAAACTGTATTTATAAGATTTTCATGGCACATTAAGAAGCTCACCAAAAGTAACTGGTCCTTTGGTTCCAACCCAGTCAGCAATATTTTCTTCACTTGTGGATAACATTCGGTAATCATCAATATACACTTTTGTATCATTTTGATGAAGCATACACTGGTCGTGTTTTAAAGCAGAATATGGATAAGATTTCTCGGTTTCCAATCCATTTTCTTTTACGAATCTGTAAGAACCAGGGATAATTTTCAAATTAATCAATGTACTCACCTCATTGCATATGGTCTGTATCCTCCACTGCACCCGTTGTTTCTACCATCGCAATCTACCATCTCTTGCTCGGATAGAGAAACCAAAATACCCTTTTTGATTGCATGCTGTGCTTCAATAGCTGCCACAGTGGCAAACGCCCAGCACGATCCGCACTGTCCTTGGTTTTTGATTGGTGTCAACTTTCCTTGATCTCTCCAATCTATGGATGCCGGTCGTTTAATTCCTGAACTCAAAACACTCCCTTCGAATCTGACTGCATTTTTCTCTTCTTTCACATTCTTCTTATCTACAATCATCTTTCGTAACTCCTCTTCAGACCAGTCCGTGAATTCGTTGATGTCGAAATCAAGTCCCGGATGTTTTCTTTCTTCCTCTTCAAACTCGCGGACATTATGAACAAAGATGTGATATCTGTACTTATATTCCTCTTGAGAACTGTACAGACGATTGAATTTATATAAGAATTCGTCAAACAAAACTTCATAGCGCTGAGTAGCTGTTTTCCGTTTGCCCATTTCACGCAATGCACAGGAACTGAACAATACGAAGATGAGAAACACGGCTAGGATGACTGCATATTCTGCACATGGAATGAAAAATCTGGCTTTGTTGGGTTTCTTCTGTCTGAAATAGTCTAAATAAGAACATTTTTCGGCAAAGTAAACTCACGTTAAGTCTGTTTCTACTGGCATTTGAATGAGATTCTCTGATAACTTTTTTGCGTCATGGCATACGGTAGCACTCACCATTTTTTAACAGTGGGACAGGTAAAAAACGATGAATGAAATTATAATATGATGTCGAGAAGGAGGCAAAGCTTTTATCAATTTTATCATAGTTTTTTTGACAGTTGTTATCAGTAAAATGGTGCCATCGATTGAAAAAAAACTAGTGTGGATGGTAGAATGGAAGGTGAACTGACAGGCTGAACGACTTTAATTCAGGATAACAACAAAAACAATATCATTTTGCTCAACCGGCAGGGGCAATTGGCTCAGAGACCTAGTAATTTAAAGAACCTGTACATCAATTTTTTTACATCCAGAAAACTAATCACTATCATAAATTATACATTACACATAGAACTTTCTTTTATAATAGCTGAGGAATGCCTCGGATTGTGTTATAAGTAAGTTTGAAAACGAAAGCATCATTACTCAAAAAATAAGACACTGAATTATTTATTGAAACTGACATGTCTCGGTATATACAAAAATCAAATTTCCCGATTAACACAAATTATTTTCTGCGGCAGCATTGTCCGTTTCTACATGGAGAATAATTGGCTTGACATGAGCACTGATTGGTTTGTGGAGCTTGTTGGCAAGCAACTGTAGCTGGTTGAGCAGCCTGACAGGATGTGGAGCAAGATGATTGGCAAGCAGTTTGACATTGAGAAACTGGTTGTTGTTGGACGCATTGTTGTTGGCAGGATTGCTCACACTGTGGAGCACACTGAGCAGATTGAGCAACAGAGGCTTGGAGCACAATTTGGACAACTTGTGGAGCAGCAGTTGTGGTTGGGTTATACACTGGAGCAGCAGTTTGCTGAATGCAGGAGTTTTCACAAGCTGGTTGACATGCTGGAGCGCACTGTTGTTGATTTCCTAGATTGTTGTATGGGTCATACATCTGGGTGTTGGTATTCTGTCCATAGATGACTTGTTGGGTGGCTTGAGCTGTTTGTTGGCAGACATTCGAGCATTGAGTATCACAGGCGGTTGCACATTGGTTGGATGGTTGTTGTTGCTGGACACAGGTTGACTGGCATTGTTGTTGGCAAGCTGGCTGACATTGAGCTTGAGATTGTTGGATCTCGAGCTGGATTTGAATCACTTGTGGAGCAGAAGTTGTAGTGGTTGGAGCTTCGCAGGCAACATTGCATTGTTGAAGATTGAACCTGAAAAAGGAATGTTGAGGAATTAATAATGATGAGAAATTGCTTCTTTATTGTGATGTGTGATATTAAATCCAGGTTTCTTGAAAATTTGTATATATCCAAACATCCCTAGCTTTTTTTCATTGTCCATTTCGACTGTTCTATTTTACTAGATATCATTTTTTACCTGAACTGCTTGAATCTGTTGTGGTTGAGCGCAAGAGCAGGATGGAGCTTGTTGTTGTACTGGAGCAGATTGGCACGAGCAAGTTTGGGTCTGTTGAACTTGTTGGCACGAGCACTGGCTCTGCTGAGGCTGGGCACATCCACATTGTCTCTTCTCACGAAGGACGCTGCTCAAAAAAACAAAACAAAAATTTCAGGATAATAGAAAACTGTAAGACTCACTGATGCTACAAGAGCAACTGCAAAGAATACAGCAAGTGAGGTGAAGCGCATTTTGGTATTTGATTCGATGTGAAAGATCGGATGCAAATTGGAACCGCAACTGGACTTTTATAAGCGCTAGTCTTCACTTCTTCCAACGAATTACTCATACTCAAAAAACTACACCAAGTATTTGACTAGAGCAACTTTTTAGTTGGTATAAGTGCTTGGAACTTCTTTTTGAGTTGCCAAATCTTGACGCATTATCAGCCGCGGAACACTTTTTCTCGCCGAGTTCATGATAATTTGTTTGCTCTAGAGACATTGAGGCGCAAAAAATACACAAGTAAAGACGAGCATTGCTTATAGAAATGGAAAGCGGTTCCTGTTGGAAACTATCGTGTAGTATAAAAGGATGCTATGTGGGACAATCTACCTCCGATCATTCTCATCGAATCAAATACTAAAATGCGCTTCACCTCACTCGCTGTCTTTTTTGCAGTTGCTCTTGTAGCATCAGTAAGTCTTACAGTTTTCTATAAACCTGCAGACATTTTTGTTTTTTAGAGCAGTGTACTTCGTGAAAAGAGACAGTGTGGATGTGCTCAGCCACAGCAGAGCCAATGCTCGTGCCAACAAGTTCAACAGACTCAAACTTGCTCGTGCCAATCTGCTCCAGTACAACAACAAGCTCCATCCTGCTCTTGCGCTCAACCACAACAAGTTCAGGCTGTCCAGGTAATAAAATATAACAGTAAAAACTCAAACTATACTGGGGTATGTTGGATACACACCAATATGTACTTCAAAAACAATAATTTGAAATACTATGCTTCACATCAAAAAACTTTTTAAACTCAGCATTCATGACTCAACATTACTTTTTCAGGTTCAATCCTCAAACTGTGCCCCAGCTTGCCAACAAAGTTGCACCCAACAGTGCCAATCTGCTCCATCCGTGTCTCAGTGTCAGCCAGTGTGCCAACAACAATGCCAATCCCAATGCACCCCAATGTACAACCCACCTACGACCACCACCACTACTCCATCTCCAGTTGTCCAATGCCAACCAATGTGTCAGCAACAATGCCAATCCACCTGTGTCCAACAGCAGCAACCTGTAGCTCAGTGCCAACCACAATGCCAACAACAATGCAATGTTGCCTGCGAAGCTCCAACCACTACAACTTCTGCTCCACAAGTGATTCAAATCCCACTCGAGATCCAACAATCTCAAGCTCAATGTCAGCCAGCCTGCCAACAACAATGCCAGTCAACCTGTGTCCAGCAACAACAACCATCCAACCAATGTGCATCCGCCTGTGATACTCAATGCTCGAATGTCTGCCAACAAACAGCTCAAGCCACCCAACAAGTCATCTATGGACAGAATACCAACACCCAGATGTATGACCCATACAACAATCAAGGAAACCAACAACAGTGCGCTCCAGCATGTCAACCAGCTTGTGACAACTCCTGCATTCAACAAACTGCTGCTCCAGTGTACAACCCAACCACAACTGCTGCTCCAAAAGTTGTCCAAATTGTGCTCCAAGCCTCTGTTGCTCAATCTGCTCAGTGTGCTCCACAGTGTGAGCAATCCTGCCAACAACAATGCGTCCAACAACAACAACCAGTTTCTCAATGTCAAACTGCTTGCCAATCATCTTGCTCCACATCCTGCCAAGCTGCTCAACCAGCTACTGTTGCTTGCCAACAAGCTCCACAAACCAATCAGTGCTCATGTCAAGCCAATTATTCTCCATGTGGAAACGGACAATGCTGCCGCAGAAAATAATTCCCTGAGATCGAGAAAATTTGATTTTTGTATATACCGAAACATGTCAGTTTCAATAAATAATTCATCTGTCTGTTTTTCCTTTTTTCGGACCATACATATGAAACTTTATTGCTCAATTAGTTCGTCTTTTTAGGTACACAAATTACCTGTTTTTTAAGGCTTTTTCAAATTTATTCAAAGCATTTCTCAAGATTATGACAATGATTGAGCATGTCAACAAAAAAAAGCAGTTTTGATACTCTGTCTTAAATTGCTTCTGGCTCTCAAATGCATTTCATCGAGTATGTTGAAGTCAGAAATTAGCAAATGTGTCAGTTAAACGTTCAGTGTATTTTTTTTTATTCTCCTCACTACACTAATTGCCCAAATGTCAAGCACAAAGTGATGTTTTATGGGTTTTTAAAAATCTTTTCTAGGCGATATACCAATATGCAATTTCTCGGTCCATCCAACATCTATTATTTTGCGAAACCATTTTTAAACTGAAATTACTGTTTTCTCTGTAAATGTGTTTTTTTTCAGTAACAAAATTGGATCCAATGTTTGTGATAAATGCTGCCAAATTATTGTAGTCACAATAAGAATTACTGTCGAAACCAAAGAATCACAAAAATAATGCTTAAAGATCTTCAAACAATGAAACAGTACCACGAAATTTAAACTTCAAAGACAGAGAATTGACGATTATCATTAAATATTTATTTTATTTAAATGCAACTGAGCAATCTTCCCGCAATTTTGTATTAAGTGCCCTAGGGAAATGAGAAATTTGTTATGAAGGCGGCCGACTGAGCTACACGGTTTCAAAGTTGGTTGAAAATCAATGGCATACATGACCAAAAGGAATTATTGTTTCCTGTCCCGCCTCCTACTAGTGTACCATATTTTCATCATTTTTTAAACATAATAAAATTTGAACTTTCCATGGCATTCAAGTTGACATTTGGACCTTTTTCAAATCAACAAAGATCAAAATCCTGAAACACTTGTATGATATCAGAAGAGCAATCATAAAAAGTGATGTGCACTGAAATCAGTAGATCGACTCACACAAGATTTTTAAAACACTCTTACAGAAGATTCTAGACGAAAAAAAAATATTTCTCCCTAAACACACTTTACATTTTGAAATCCTTCCGATAAACACCCACTTACTCATATCAGACAACCACATGTAATTTTCTTTTTTCAATAAGCATATATGTTATAAAAATCTCACATTTTCGCTTTTCTTTAGGCTCAATCTAGTTTGAGATGGAAAGTCGAAATTGCGACTTGCCAGCGCCTGATATTTATATGTGAGTATTATACAGTTTCATACGGTATGAAGAGATTTCAATATTTTCAGAAAATGTATGCATAATTTCCATCTTATCAGTTTTCCTGTGTATATTGTTGCATTCAACGCATTGTTCCGAGAAAATTCTCAAATGTTCACAACCTATAAATATTTCCTGATTGCTCATGTCTTTATGTATGTCATGATTTTTGGGAATTTAAATTTTTAATTTTTTTCAGAAACATTATATCAGAAAGTTATGTGTCTTTTTTCATGCTTCCAATGACATATTTACCTCATCCGGCACTTCGAAATACTGGATTGTTGGCAGACTTAAGGTTTAGTGGAATGTTCATTTTTTATGGGTTGGCACAATCTGTGATGTGTAAGTTGTTTTGTAAATCAAATTTAGAAATTGGTTTATAACGGTTGCAGGGATACTTGAAGGTTATAGATCAGATAAACTCCCAAAAATTTCCGCCGTGAAAAAAACTATCCAAATATAAATTTTGCAGGCACTGTTGGCTCAATTCTAGAAATGTTCTTTTTTCGGTACAAACTAATTGCTATATACAAAAAAGGACTGTTCAAAAAGCTTCTGCGTTTTCAAGTTCTTTTGTACCGTGGCCTTATCCTTTTCCACCCTGTCTTTGCCGCTATCACCATTACCTATAGTATAGGTGTTGAAAGAGAAGCAACTACGGAACTTTTTCTGGTAAGGTCGTTTTCAAAAATCAATAATAGAAAGAATCATTCAGAGCAACCCAGACCTCCCACCAGAAATCACATGCTATTCCGTGATCATGGCAGTTTTTGATGATGCTGTTATGTACGTTCTGGTTATCATTTATGGAATCCAAGTCGTTCTCCAGTTTACTGTATCTAATGGAGTTTTGATGCAAATCTTGAAATTCGTAAAAGATGGACAAGGAATGTCTGCGTCTACTCTCAAACTTCAGAAGATGATGGTTTTCAGCTTATTCATTCAGGTATTTTTGAGTTCAAATATGCAATGCTGCTTTTTCTCGTTTTGAAGCTATTAGGTGCATTTTGAGTCATTTTTAAGTACATCGACGGGTAACCTGTAATTTTTTTTTCTGTTGAAAATACATTTTCAAAGACCTTAAAATTCAAAATCATTACTCACGAACTTTAAATGATGTTATGGACCTGATGTACGGGGGAAGAGAGAAATACGAATGTACGGTAAAAGCAGTAGAACAGGGTCCCACACTGTCAAAATTGATTTAACTTTTCTTGGTTAATATGAAAGATAATAAAAATGTTATAGATAACAAAATGTTTGTGATATTACGTTTAACAATATATCAATTGACAATTTTTTGAATAATTGACAAGAACCGAGTAAATTTGATCAAATTTAAATGATAGGGGCAATTCTATTACAGGTTTTACGGTAGTAAGGCTTCCATTTCGGCGGGTCAAAAATTGGGGATTGCCGACTGAGCTGACCGGATTCCTGCATTTGCAAATCATCATGATAAAATGGGTGTTTACGTACACAGAATATTGTGATTGACAAATTCGAAAAATGCCGTAAAATTTAATGCTGTGTACACGAACACTCTCTGGCATGTTGGCGTGCGAACTCACGAATTCGGCCGATTCTGTCGGCAGTCTGCTAAATTTTCGAACTGGATGGGAGTCTTATACAGTTGTAATCTTTATAGTTTCAAAACAATAGAAAAGTGTGAGGTTGCCCCAATCAAGTTTACCATTTTCCAGGGAACTATCCATGGAGCATTGATAATGTTGCCTACCATGTTCATGATTTATGCCATATTTTTTAAATCGAGCCAGAACGGTATACTACTCACATTTTTAACAGAAAAAGATTAATCATATTTAGGTATGGCCCTCGGTTTTCTCATGTGTGTAGCTTATCATGGATTCGTCTCAACATGTTCTATGGTAGTGTTCACCAAGCCACTTCGTGACAGAATTGTGCCGTGCATCAGAGTTGTTCCAGCCGCCACCACTCCTAGCAATGTATCACGACTGGTGAGCTCGACGAGGGATGCACCATCGAACCATAGCCGAAACTTAATTGTGGATCGCCGCTCAAATCTAGCTGGATGATTTGGGCAGCCGAAATACCTTCAAAATATTTGCGCAATTTTTTAATCGGCGACTCTGAATTCTGTCTATACTCAATAAAAATTATTTAATTTTTTGTTTTAGAAATTTGAGATTTTACCTAAACTGTTTCATAAAAATAATGCACAAACAAATAATAAAAAAATGTACGCTTCTTTCTGAGAATTGGTCAACTTATGATTTCGACGGTTCAGTTTTCAATTATTTTGATCTGAATTCTGATTATTGAATTTTTTATATCATTCTGATTCCATCTTGTATTGGTGTTTTTGGCCCGGCCCGGCCAGTTGCAAGTATTGAACAAGTCTCTGTCGATCAATATATTCTGCACATGACGTGTACAGATGTTAAATCAATGTGTCTATCTCTACGTACCGAGTCTGTATGAGAACCCAGGTGGGACGACACCGTATGTTTCATGCCCTATGGTCATAAACACCAACAAACAGTTATCGATAGTTGCACCTCTTCCCGTCATAAAATTATCTAGACGATGTGACATAAGTCTCATAGTTAGTCTCATTCTGTTTATGTTTTTTGCTTTTAGCTGTCTCCCGTTATTCCATTTTTCTTGTTAGATTTATGAACCTTCCTCTTATCTTAGAGCTCTCCATTACTGTAAACTGAAAAAGACTTTGGACACAATACTTCAAATTTCTTTCTCTATCCGCGCATTCTAGTTGTATAAAAAAATGAAGTTTATTAGTTGGACGGCAGCAAATCTTGTACTTTGAGTTAGATAATAGTGTTTCTACAATACTATTATATCGAAACCTAAATGTTTTAGAATGAGCATTTTTCTAAAATTGGGTGAAAACATCGAACTTTTCTTATTTTGTAATGGTTTTTCTGTCCTGTCCGGTCAGTTACTTTTAACACATGGGACTAGTCTCTCCTGATCAATAGATTTTGTCACATGTACTTTCCAGACGTTAAATCTATGTGTCTAGATGTGTGTACAGAGTCTTTATGAGAACCCAGGTGGAACTTTTGTATCCCAAGTCATTTTTATTGCCCTATGGCCATAACCACCTGAAGACAGTAAAAACTTATTGATTGTGGCACCTCCTCTTCACATCACAAAATTATCCAGACGATGTGACACCGCCCACGTTTTCCATAAGTCATTGCTACATAACTCACAACTCATCGTTAGTGTTCTGTTTCCCTTACTTGGTTCTTGCTGTCCCCTATTATTTCATCTCAAATCTACAAATCTTTCTATTGATTTCTCTCATTCCAGATATCGCCTAGAATGTATTCTCAAAAGAACGGATCCTTCGAACCAACACTGAACAGTCTCACCTCAAGCCTGTTTTATGATGCTGATGATGAGATGCTAAAAGAGGAGAATATTCTGGATCTTTCTGGACCGTCCAGTTCATTGGAAGATGATGAGAGGCTTTACGAAGAAGAGCCGCAGTTAGATATCCTCCAACTGTTCGATCAATACAACAATGATCCGGAAGTACTATATCGGAGAAGCGATCTCTACAAACTCGACTTACGATTCGAAGAATATTATAATCTTCAATTCACCGCTTCTGAGTACGGCGTCTCAGCCCAAGCCATGGATCTAGAGGATCATCATAAGCAGGAAGAGTTTGAAATCAGAGAAGGAGAAGAGTCCGATACTGAGACTGAGACTGAAACCGAAGAGTCCGATACAAGCATTGAGGAGGAATCGGACGAGAGCGAGGATGATAGCGATGATGAAGAGGATTCAATCGTTGAGTTGACTGATATGGAGTATGGAGAAGAGTCAGACATTGAGATGATGACTGAGGATGAAGACGTTGATTCGGACCAAGATGAGCTGAGCGACAAGGATTCCGGATTTGAGGAAGTTTCGGCTATGGACACTAGCGACGATGATGACTCGGATACCGATTAAGTGAAGCCAATGTTGCTGTATGAATTGAGTACAACTTTTTTTTATTTCTGATTGTTTCAATGATCTTTTCTGATTATTTCAATGATCAAAAGTTTTTCTAATAAACCTATGAAAATCTTATCTACATTTTTCTCTTTGTTGTCAAGTTACTTCTCAAGTTCTGAAAATTTCCTAGAATAATTCGTCACGGTTCAATAACAAGATACGAAACCTCTTTCATTCACACACTAATTTTACGCAAAGATTTTTCTCTGATGGCGCAAGGGACATACTCTCCTCTAAAAGCATTGCCTTTGGAACTCAGTTCGTGGCACGGTAACCAGGGCAACAGGTTCCCCTCTTCTTGTTCGTCGCTTTTTTCCTTTTCGGCTGCTTGTGACTTTAATTTAAATCAACCAGTTTCTGACATAAGAGAATACTCAAAATCTCTTCCTTTCACACACTAATTGAACGACTACCTTTTTCTCTGATGTCCCAAAAGGCTTGCTCTCCAAACAATCTGTTGTGTATCGCATAAGGCTCTCGCGCCCGTAACCGGGGCAACGCAAATCTACCCAGCTCATTCACTCCACACTTCTTCTTCTCTCGCGTCCCACTTTCAGTTGTTTCCGTTTACGATGGTTACAGTTGCCGATGCTAACCAGTGCCAGACGTTGGCATATCTTTTTTCTGCTCCGATAGATCATGCCGGCAGACCGAGTACTCCACCAAGGTACGTCGAAGGCATCTCAGAAACCTCTTACATTAGAATAACTTTATTCTAAGAAAGGGCCTGGCCGGGCTTCTTTCAGAATTTTCAGGGCCCGGCCCGGATTTTCGGAAAATGTTTTCTGTCTCTCAAAAATTTTTTGAGGTCAACAGAAAAAAAATGGACGATTTTTTTGACAAGAAAAAAATTTTCAAGATAAGAGTGTCCATAAAAAATAGTTCTTTCACAAAAAAATTGGAAAAAATTCTGAAATTTCATATTTTTTAAATAATATCAATATATTCAGTGAACCACCAAAGAATGATATTGATTACATGTTTCTTGGCGCTCTATCCTCTACGTCGGCTTATGTCTCAATCAACTCTCATTTCTGGAACATATATGAGATACCAAAGGACAATGGAGAGTTTGTGAAAACTCGTACATGCAAGTACGACACCGTAGACGGCCTATACGTGTTGAAAGGGTATCATGAGAGCAGTGATCGTGTTAAAACCGCAATCGAACGGTCAATGAGTGAGGGACTACAAGACGTGATTTCAAGAGTCAAGATCTTGGATATAAACGTGAGTTAGAGCGCATTTGATAGAGTTTGGCTTGTGGTTAAGGGAGATTTCAATGCTGGCACCTTCGACAACATCCCACCGCTCACTGTTGGGTTGCTTCGCTTCCATCACAACCCTGTTCGATGCGAGTGGCTGAGATTGATCGGTTCCGCCGAAACGGTAGAGCTCACTATGTTGACTCCGGATATAGCTGTGTACAAGCTTCCAGTGGTAGCTCTGCTTGGCTACGAGTATTCAAAACCAATAACCTAATTTCAGGTCGCAAACGCAGCGTTATTAAAGCTCCGAAACCTCTCAAAAACTGAAAATTTCCTAACAGAAATCAAAAACAAAAAGACCGAGTTCATCGGATTTCCGAAACCTCAGACGATTCACAAAATTATTGAGGTATGTTTCCAAAACAATCAAACAAAAACATTTGTAATAATTTTGCAGACATGGATCAAAGAGAGACGTTGTGAGGGGACGAGTATGACGTTCATCGGAGATGATCTTGATGATGTTGAAGATGACTGGCAGTCTCAACTGTCGTCTGTCACGGGAGCTCACAACACCACATGGTACGCTAATTTTCTCAGGTCATAATTCCTTAATTTTGTTTCAGGGGGGATATAACCTTCCCAATGGGAATCGGCAGTCCAAACAAGGTCTGTTTGGTATTCAAAATCAATTCCATTCAACTATACATCACGGAGAATCACGACGCTCAACTTATGAGTTATGAAGACAAGAGACCAAGTTTCTTCAAAGCCGCTGGACGTTTTCTCATAGCGATGAATCCAATTCCATGGGGTCGCACAGTTTTGAGAGCTTGGAGCCGCCTCGCTACATCTGCCAGAAACTTCAACTGCATTGAAGCTGCGCCAAAAGAGGATAAGCTGAAGATCATCGACTTTCCAGAGATCGCCGATTAATTATTGCTCAATGATAAATAATTTCTCACTTTTTTGTTCTGTCTTCTCCTAAAATTCGATTCCCTGATTTTTGTCTCATTTTCAGTCTCTTCTATCTCTGAGTTGTCAACCTTCCCCAGATTTTTGAGACTTACTAATGGACACCGACGCATTGCATCTAAAGTTTTAATCCAATTTTTCAATCCAAACAAAAATGTAACTTTGAAAAGGAGCAAATTGCTCTTAAAACTCGTCTCCTTTCTCATTTGGTTTCTAGTGTCTCTTTGAAACTATAACTCTACTTTCCAATCTTGAATCAATTTTCATGTGATATATCCATCTGTGTTCTGGCCCACTCTATTTTTATTACTCACTAACATTCCTACATTTGACTTGAATCCGTTTTCCCGATATTTCCTTTCTTCTTACCAAACTACACTTTTCAAACTTTGATACTCTTCTGTTCATCTTCATTCCTTTGTGAGATCTCTAAGAAAGTGATCTCGGCCGGACCACACTTTCTTCAGAGCGTTCAAGTGTTTTTGCACAAAAATCCGTCCGAATACTGTGTTATTTTTTTAATATGACATCCCTTCAAGATCCTTCCTGTTTGTGCATTTGAACCCCTGACAAATCTTGAATTCATTACACAGATGTGTTTCTCCAACTGTCCTCCAAGAAATAAAATGATATTTTCCATTTTTTTGAGATGCGTAATGAGAATTAAAGACATATAAACAAGTGTAGTAAGTCCGCTTGAGACTCGAAGCAATTTTTCAGTCACCAAAAATTTTTAAAAATTTGGTTTTCCATTCAAATAAATTTCAATCGAAATTTTATTTGGAAAGTACTGTTGAAGAAGTCGAAGTGTTTCCAAAAGTCAAAATTTTTACATCTTTGACTGAGATTTCTCATGAATGTTTGTACCTTACAACAAACATCTTTAAAGGGGGACTCCGGTCAAATTTTTTATTGCATTAAATTTTGTTGAAAATTGTCTATTTTCCTAATATTATTGCGAAAAAATTCAAAAGAAATCCNAAACCCCCGAAAAACGCCGNTGAAAATGAAAAAAATTCAAAAAAAGGTGCCGCCGAAGGACGAGGATTTTCAGTGAGAAACCTAGGCCACGCCAGTGCCGCGACCTTCCTACCCAACAATTTTTCCGGATTTTTCTCGCTTTGGTCTCCGACAAGTAAAAAACATTAAAAAACACTGTCGGCCACTTAAAAATAATGCTCTCAGGCGCCGTGGCCTAGGTTTCTCACTGCGCGGGAATTCAAATCCTCGTTCCTCGGCGGCACTTTTTTCGATTTTTTTTCATTTTCAACGGCGTTTTTCGGGGATTTCGGATTTCTTCTGAATTTTTTCGCAATAATATTAGGAAAATAGACAACTTTTAACACATTTTAATGCAATAAAATTTTTTGGTCGGAGTCCCCCTTTAATGAACTATAAGTGGGTGAGTTGGAAAGTTATTTTTATTCAATCTTCAAGTCAGACTTAAAAATCCTATTATTATCAGTAGTATTTGTAATAGATTTATAATAATTGAATCAATGTTTCAACGCAGTAAAATGTTTATGACAACGTGCACTGATTCAAGCCTTATTTTTCCTCCTTACTCGTGTTTCAGGTGCAAATACGGTAATTCGTGGCGATTGATTGAATTGAACTCAATTCGATTCTGCCGCAATGTCGGATGTCTTTTTTGTGACACAAGCGAGTCAAACATTTTATCAAAGTAAGGTGAGAGTTTTTTTTATTCACCTTTTTTAAGTTTTCCGATTGTTTGGAACAAATCATGGAAACGAATTGAACTTTTTTCTCCAAGTAAAGATCAATTCCTTGCCCAGACACAATTTGCAGACAAAAAAAGCAATTAGAGTCTATGACTCGTCATTAAAGTTTGGTAAATACTAACTCAGAATTATTTTTTTTTGCGATAACGTACACAAGTTTTCGTGTTTGGATCCTTTAATTTTATGTTTGAGTCTTGTTTTTGTATTCAAATCGTTCCTCATAAATACTTCAGTTTTCAGTCCAATCAATGAACTGCTTTTGGCCGCCTTGTTCCGTGAAACATATCAAGTTTTTCGAGTCTACAAATACTACATAATTGCTCATAGTATAACGTGTGTAGATGATGTTCAAAATTACACAAAAGTAGATAGTAATGTAACTTCGGAGTTTTATGTGACATTCATGTGGCTTCCAATAACATATCTACCGTATGACGTCTATCGAGGAACTGGCTGGTTATCTCAATGGGGTGTCAGTGGAGTTTTTCAGTTCTACGCACTTGCTCAGTTCATAATCGGTTCAGTTATACTTTCTCGATTATTTGATAAATCAATACTTTCAAGCTTTCTACTTTTGGATTATACATTTCTCGATTTTTTGCTGTTGTGCACATGATGACTCTTACTTGGAGTACCATTGACGACAAAACTATAATGTATCAGCAGAATAAAAAAGATGCTCTATTCAAAGTGAGTTCACTATCAACTGAACAATTTCATTGCAAATTCTTACAGAAAGTACCGGATCTTCCGAAAAAACTTGGATGTTATAGTGTTTTCATATTGGCTAGGAAGATCCTATTCTAATCCTTAATGTTGTCATATACAGTATTCTGGTATGCCTGGGTTCGGCCGTTGGATTAAGTACTGTAGTTTTCATCAATATTTTTTTGAGCTCGGCTAAAAATCTGTCGAAGGAAACTAAAAAGTTGCAAAGAATTCTTATTTTTAGTCTTTTGGCACAGGTGAAACCCCCAAAAAATCATTTTGGATTCGATTCATTTCAGGGGGCAAACTACGTTGTTATGATAATATCTCGAGTGGTTTTTCAGATTTACCAAATGATTTTCATCATGTATGACAATAGTAGGCTGAGAGAAATTTTTTTTTTTTATTCAATATTTTTATTCCAGATTTCTCCACGTTGCTACTGTTTTCTTTAGCTTATCATGGGTTCTCCTCTACTTGTGCAACGATAATATTCACCAAACAGCTGCGAGTCAGAATACTTCGCTATATGAGATGTTGTTTCAGACAAGAAGTTGTTCCTACCGAAAGAACAAGCCAGATTGCAAGACCAACAACTTTCATTGATACATCTGTTTAATAATTGTTTCTTGATGTGAACTTTGTTTATATCATGGGCGTTTGTGTTCAAAGCTTTTTTCATTGATTTTTAACATGTGAAATCAAGTTTTCAATACATAGCAGGTTGAGTTATCTAGTCAGAATCCCGTTAAAACCAAAGTTTCACAAATAGTTTTTGAGGTTTGCTGCTAATGCTAAATAAAAATTGTTTCTCGATGAAATTCTTATATGGGGGATTGTGTTGAAAATGACTATTTCTTTAATTTCGAACACATTAAATCATATTGTTCCAATAAAAGCTTGATCCGTCTTGTCAGAATAGAATTACGGGAAATCTAATTTTATCAAATAAGTTTTGAGTTTCTTTTCAGAAAAAATTATTTTTTGAGTGCAGATGTGTGTTAGTTCCGGGTTTTTATTTAATTTGTTTCGATTTTTGACTGTCGTTTCAGGAATACTCGTCAGGAACACCTGCTAAGTGATCCTCCTAGAACAAAAATATCTAACATTTAAACTCACTTTCATCATTTCAAAAACGCACAACAACAATTACCATGAAAACAAACGAATTTTAGCTCAAAATAGTTCTCTAGTCAATTAATGCAGCCGTAGTATCTTGCACGTTTTGCCTAAATCTTGGTAAACTGAAAAAAGAGACTATTTTGTTACGACGACATTTTGAATAACGCTGGTTTCCCATAGATCCAAACATTCGAGTATATTTTTAAAATATATTTTCAGAAAAATGGTTTTGATTGAAAAATGTTTTCAAAATTTTAGGTTCAAGGTCCAAAAACGCAAAAAAAAAACTTTTTTGCGATAGAGGCAAATATTTCGCCAAATCTATATCCATATTTTTCAGGAACAAATGTTTCAGGAGCGTTGACACGGACATTCATATTTAATTGATGTCCAAAAATGTCTGACATGTCCGACGGAGTAGGAAGAAAACTCGACTTCTTCGGCACTCCGAGTGAGGTGGAAAGCTCAAAGAATTCTAGAAAACCAGTGCGCTTTTGGCATTTTTCTGTTTGCTGTTTTCGAATTCTTAAATTTCAGCTCGAGTCGTTTCACAACCTGTTTTGGCTATTTTTCTTGAGAATTTGAGAAAAAAGATTTTTCGAATTTTAATGTGAAAACTAATCACTTTATAGAGCTTTAAAAATGAGAATATCATCAAACCTGTAGTAGTAGGGCTCCCTAACTTCAAACTTTGAGCCAACTCATCTCCCTTTATAAGGTTTAAAAAGTTAGAATTAGCTCAAACTTGAACGTGTGTTGGCTCTTCTATTAAAGGCTTTACGGTATTTATTTTTCGCTATCATAAGTTGGCGTTTCAGAAATTCAAGCTTCATTATTGAGAATTTTGACAACCCCCATATCTTTACTAAACATTCAACAGATACAATTTCTATATAATCCAGAGAGAACTTCTGATCAAAGTTATTTCAACTAATATCATTCCCAAACTTACAACTTTTTGGAACATATATTAGAACTTTCGTTTTCTATAGAGGTGTATCCTTTGAATTCCACCTGATTGCATCTGAACAATCTTAACGATTCATCGCAATTCTCTATTCAACCCCAAGCTCGGTCAGCACCACTCTCTTTTCATATTTCCCTATTCAATAATGAACTAATGACACGCACACTTGACGCCATCCCAACACCACACCGTCTGCCGCTTCTGTGGGTTTTGGGGGGGGGGGGGGTGTTGGGTGCTAAATAATTGGCTTCACACTGCGTTGCGCATTCCATTTCCCCTCGTTTCTTCTTCCATTTCCAACACACTCGGACAGTGATTAGCGACGCGGTAACTCAATCTTCGAATTTGTCCCAAACATTTTGGGCGGCCTTTCCTTTCTAGGGTTTTCCTTTCCTAAATTCGCTCTTTTGGTGGTTATTTGATTTTTGAAATTTAGGATAAAACAGATGGTTTGGTAATTGGGAATTAGGAGATTTTATGAGGCAGTAATTTGAATTCTGAGATTTAGTTCTTCAATTCCAATTGTGCTTCTTCACCAAACTTTGAATTTTGACGCTTCAAATTTCGAAAAAGGATCACCTGTTTTGAGTATCACATTTCTTTCAACTATTCAAAAAACATTGTGTTTCGTTTACACTTTTAACTTCCTTCCTCTCCGTAGGAGAAACTTGCACTAACGAGCACCAGAACTCTCAAGAGTTTCACTTTTTCTTAGCTCTCCTCTCATCTGCTGCTCCTCCCCCGAAGAAACTAATCCCTGCAAAAAGAAACAACAGAATGAGGATGGGAGAGAAGGCACATAGCCAATTCGTTTGAGTGTCTGAAGAAGACCACGCCGTTAGAGATTAGAACAACTTCAAGGGACCTATTAGCCGACCCGAAATCTTGGTGCCATTTGTCAAAACCACGACTTCGCGTTGTGGAAGACACTACTACATCACTTTATTTTTGAGGGTACGAGTTTGTCATCTATATTATCTATCTTTCTTGAAGCTATCTTTTTCAGTGAGCTCCAAAAATATATTTGAGTTCAAAAGCTGGAAAGTCGTATTTTCTCTATCAGAAGCCCACCTTCCGACGTGCTTAAAAACTTAAAAACATGAGCGCGCAACCTCTAAAAGAACTTCATGCAGTTCAATTAGCGCATTTTGTACATTACAGTTCGTCTTGGTTTTTGAAGACATTTTTTAAAACATTTTTCTAATGATTTCAGTTTTCGATAATTTTCTGTGAAGAAGGTTAAATAGAAGCCCATGGGCTCCAATCAGAAAAAATGTTTCATTTTTTCGGAAGGTTTCATTTTTTCGGAAGCTTATACACTGCGCGCCATAATTATGGAGCCACTTCAATTATTGTAATTTTTTTTATGTATCCATGAAAGTTTCTGAATCCTTTCCGATGGCGATAAATATCATTTTTGAATCTGTAAATGTGAAGAACATTCAGTTTTAGATAGTGAAGCAACTGTTTGAAAAATGCAAAAATATCAAAAAATGCAATTTTTCAAAAATATCAAAAAATGCAATTTTTCACATAATTATGGAGTCACTTCAAAAATCTTGCCATCATCACGATTTCATTGCTGTAAAAAGCAGATATTCAAATTTACTAAAAATTGATACTTCTAAAACAATTTCTGAACTAATTTCAGTAGAAAATTTTTCTGTTAGAAATGATTTTCGCTATTGTTTTCACAAAAAGATGAAGGTTTGCAAAAAACAATTCTTGCCTTTTCCAAATGTTTTCAGGATTGTATAATTTATGTCAGATTAATTATAATGACCCGTAAAACATGATCGAATGCATTATTTAGTTTTCCAAAGCGTGTAAAGTACTGATCAAAGGGTGCAAACAATAATTTTTTGAGTTTATTGAAGTCAACTTCAGATAAGCCGAAAATAACTTCTTTATATGTAAAACGCTAGAAGCGTCTGTCCGTCCCGATGTCACTCTGTCGACTTTTAAAAAACTTGAAAATAAATATAGATTTACGTGACCCTTTGAGAAAAAATTGGGAGTGAAGCGACGAGCCAGTAAACAACTAGATTGAATCGCGCCGAAGGCGCACCAGCTTGCAGGTAGTAAAAATTACGTGATACATTTGAAGTTTTTCATATTTATTAACCATAAATAGAGCTTTAATTTCTTAGTTGGCAAGCTTTTATCATGACTCCATCCAAAGAAGTTATTTTGCTCCGACGTGTCGCCAACGTTAACTCAGAACTCTCCTCAGTTTTGCGCTTCTTAGTTTCCAGAGGTGTATCTCATTTGTATGAATTTGTACAAAAAAGTTGTCAACTACAAAGATGAAGCTCTAGTTTTGTTTCATATTTCTTGAAAATTTTAGCTCTATACGACAATGTATGTTTGTAGCACAAACAGTAATATACTGATCTTTTTTATTTGAGAAAACACCATGCTTGAAAATTTGGAAAAATAACATACATAGCCGTATAGAGCTAACAATTTCGAGAGATAGAAAACAAAACTAGAGCTTTATTTTTGTAGTTGACATCTTTTTTGTACAAATTCATACAAGTGTGATACACCTCTGGAAACGAAGAAGCGCAAAACTGAGGAGAGTTCTGAGTTAACGTTGGCGACACGTCGGAGCAAAATAACTTCTTTGGATGGAGTCATGATAAAAGCTTGCCAACTAAGAAATTAAAGCTCTATTTATGGTTAATAAATATGAAAAACTTCAAATGTATCACGTCATATTTACTATATTTTCGCCTTATCTGAAGTTGGCTTCAATAAATTCAAAAATTATTGTTTGCACCCTTTGATCAGTACTTTACACGCTTCGGAAAACTAAATAATGCATTTAATAATGTTTAACGAGTTTTTGTAAATAATCTGACATACCTTATACAATACAATCCTGAAAAAATTTGGAAAAGGAAAAAATTGTTTTTTGCAAACCTTCCATTTTTTGTGAAAAAAATTGCGAAAATCATTTCTAACAGAAAAATTTTCTACTGAAATTAGTTCAGAAATTGTTTTGAAAATATCAATTTTCAGTGGAAAATTTGAATATCTGCTTTTTACAGCGAAGAAATCGTGATGATGGCAAGATTTTTGAAGTGGCTCCATATCTATGGCGCAATGAAAAATTGCATTTTTTCAAACAGTTGCTATACTATCTGAAACTGAATGTTCTTCACATTTACAGATTCAAAAATGATATTTATCGCCATCGAAAAGGATTCAGAAACTTTCATGGATATGAAAAAATTACAACAATTGAAGTGGCTCCATAATTATGGCGCGCAGTGTATGTCTTAAAATATTTGATAACGTATTTGCTCAAATAGAAGCTCACCCAACTTCCAACCCAATTATCACGATTCCTAAAAGAGATATCGAAAATTTGTGAAGTGATGAATTATTTATCATGATATCACTAATGTTTCATCAGTTAGCACAATTCTGATATCTTTTACAGAAATTGAAATATTTGAGCTGGAAGTTGACGGTTTGATACTCAAAAATGAAAACGGTTATTCTAAGAATAGGGAATGTCGTATTTCCAACACCATATTTGCACTTTGAGTTCAATTATTTCGATCTCTATGAGAAAATACAAAAATATGCAAACTGATAAATGTTTTTGATATTATGATGAATAGTTTATCAGTTGACAAACTTTCACTATTTTTCAAAGAAATCGTGATAATTGAGCTTACAGTAAAGGATGAACTTCTACTGGGAGAAATACATTATTCCCATAATTTACAAAATAATTGGATTTTTTATATCAACACAGAACCTCCAGAGATTTCACCGATAAAAACAAATTTCACATCTCCAATGCAAGTTGTCAAGACGACAAAACAAGGCTCATTCTATGTTGTAGTTAGAATTAGGATTGCTCGTATGAAAATGGAATCGCTTCTTCTCTTTTTTTTCGAAAATATGTTTTCCTACTAATGTTTCGCCCTCACTTTCATTTTTGCCTAAACATTGGATTAATCCTTCTTTCCTCCGCCGTCCTCTAGTATTCTTTTCTCTCTTATTCCCCTCGTCATCATTCTTCTCCTTTTATGTTTACAATAGTTTGAACACAATAGCCCCTCCGGAGCTCCTACTGGTGTTAGGAAAAAGAAGGGAAGAAGGGAGCTCATGTTCAAAAATGTGTTGTGCGCTCTTTTCAATTCTTTTCAACACTAAAATCTTTTCAGTGACCTCTCACAAGTTCTCTTCTGTTCGGATTTTCAAAGTTAAGACGCTGTGCGCAATATCCCTCTATCCTTTTCATTTTGGGAACCCAAAAACGTAGTTCTTCAAAAGGTTCACTATCTTTCTTCTCTCCCATCAAAGTGGGCCACTTTTGTGCAATTTTATGGCCGGACATCACATTTTCTTCTCTCACTTCCCGGTGTAGTTCTTGACATTTCACATTTCCTCTGTGTCCCGTTTGGTTATAAAAAAATGGAATGTACTTTTCCGGTGGCTATTTAGAAAGTCAGAACGAGAGCCAGTTATTATTTGTTAAAAAATGCTTCAGAACGTTGGTTACTCCTTGAAAAAAACTAGTATAGTAAAACTACTTCCTTAAGCGAATTAGTATTCGATTCGCTAACGAGCAATGGCGCCAAACCAGAAGAAACCCTCTTGAGATTTTTAATTATCGTAGAACAGAACAAAAGGCGAGTGGAAAATGGACAAAAGAGTCTCCATTCCTTGCTTTTCAGAGAATTCGTTCTAGCTGATAGTCTTGTTGTTGTTCTGAAATTTTTTTTAATTTCTGAAACTATCGCATTTCTCATGAGACAGTAGTATCAAATTTCAGGTTTTTTTTCTCACTTTGAATAAAAAACATTGCACTTTTTTTTCAAAATTTCCACATATTTTCTTATTTTTGATATCAGGGAAAACTCTTAAAACACAAGGAGGCGTGGTCTCCTTGGTGAGATTCATGTAAGATGAGAAGGAGTTTTCGAATTGGATTTTTCTTTCTTTTTCTCGCTTTTTCCTTCAATTTCCCGTTATACACTTCTAAAGTCGTTTGAACTCGCTTCCTTTCCACTTTTACTCGCGCACCCAACACATTTGATTACGTTATCCGTTTTTTTCTACAAAAAAAAGAGAAAAAACTACTCCTCTTCTTTTTCACACTTTTCTTTTTTCAAATTTCCTTTTTTGGCTTCTCACCACCACTTGCCACTTTGTGTGTCAAAATTTGGGCAGATAGGCGGCTGGTAGTGATTGATGAGAATTTTTGAAATGAATATGTAGATACTCATCTGGACACAAGGGATGGGTTACTCTCACTCCCTATCCAATGTCACTTGAGAATGAAATAATGGGATGGGGGTGAGAAAATTTTCATGTTCCAATTTTCACCAATTTACAAATTTGTAAGGTTTCCGTTTTTATTTTTCTAACTCTTCTCTTCTTTATTTTTTTTCTCAGATTTCCACAGCAACTAACATTCTCAAAGTGTCTGTTGTACAACCACAAAAACGTGTGTTCTCTTCTTCCTACTCATTTTTCTTTCTTTTCCCACAATCACGTCCGTACACCGATCCCATTAATTTTGTTACATTACATCTATCGGATCTCGTAAAAAAGTGCAAGATTACAAAAACTCATTTTTATTTTTTTTGCAGAAGGATGGCGCCAGCGTTTGGGACCACGAAATTCGGATGTATTTTTTTCGTTGCTGTTGTGTGTTTTACGATCGTCATCGTGTATGCTCATCCGGACAAACGACAAAACTCGGATAAAGATGAGTATGAGGATGGTGAGTATGAGTTGAGATTAAGGAGAAGATTAGAGATTAGGTTAGGTGTTTTTGCTGATGTTTTATCCTTAAATCGAAACAATCATGATTTGAAGAACAAAAACCAAAACTCGTCTTTGAATGTTTGCCTCCAAATCTGTCGTAATTTCATTGAAGTAAAATTTTTCGCTTAGCGGTGCAAACAATACAATTCACCAGGTTTTTGTATTCCCAAATCATTAATTTTGAACCTACCCATGAATCCCCATATTCGGCCAAAAAAAACCCATCTGCTGTGAATGCTGTAAATACTCTATATGTGCACTTCAATCTCAATTCTCTTTTTCTTTCAAGAGAAATCAAAAATTTATCAACTGATAAAAAGTTGATCATGAAATTACCAAAATCTGATTAATCAAACAATTGTGATATTTTACTAACTAGTAAGGAACCAAGATAATTGAGCTCAAAGTATACGGTTCTATCACAGTATTTATGGTGAATTTTTCACTCTCCTGGGCAAAACTAGAATTGTAGAAAACATATCAAAGCTTTTGTATTGTTCATCTGAGCGTCAATTTAAAATATATATGTACATATAATATAAATTCTGTTGCACAATTTTATTTCGATAGTTTATTGAGTTCCGTTCTCAATTACCATATTTCCTCTAATAGAAGACCACCTGAACCGTAAACTTTGAACTCAATTGTCTCCATTTCTATGCAAAATAAGAAAAATTTGCCAGCTGCTATATTATTTGCTATGTTGTTAGCTATATTTTATCAGTTGACATATTTTCTATACCTGTCATAAGAAATGAGAAAATTGAGCTCAACATACCTTTAAAGAATAGGCTTCTATCAGAAAAACAGGTTAATTTAAAAAAACCGTTGGTTTGTTTTTCAAAACAGTTTCAAGTTCCAGTTCCTGACCAACCATTTCCTGGAAAAATTGAAATCATGCCCATTGTCCAACGCGACACCAAACACAAAGGAGTCTCCGAATACGTGAAAGAGATAATTCGAGAGCTGCCAAACGATGAGCAATACGAGAGAATAGGAAAGATGCTGAACGTAAGATATCAAATTTCGCATGCTTTGAGCTTTCTCTCTCTCCACATCTATCAGCAAAATGATCAAGTGACACAGATATCAGTTTCAGAACTCGTACGACGCAGTCAGTAAAGAAATGGCCGCGGGACAAACCGCGATTCGACAGAAAATGGTTATGACAGAGGAAAGGACGAATTATGGAATCGGCAAAGCGGTGATGATCAGTGGACTGTGTGGTCTCATAGTTCTTCTTGTTTAAAAACTAAATTACACTAATTTATTCAATTTTTTTAATTTCATAGATATTTTTTTTATTCCATTTTCCCAAAGACTTTCCTCATTGGTCCCTGATGTTAATGTTATTCCAAATGAATTGACACATATTGTCTGTCTTTTTGTTTTCATGACTCGAAAACTTAGCTTTCACAACTTAGATTTACATCCGATAATGGGTAAATGATCTATCAATGTTCAGACATTCTTATCTATAAAAAGATTATAATTGTAACCCATCTCTTTCTATTTCTCTTCAAATAAATATCCATCTCTTTCAAATCTTTTTTCCAAGAACAAATTTCACAATAAAAGGTAATCGGCGAATCTTTGTTCAGGGATGCCCACAAAAAGATAATAAAAAGAAGAAAGAAAAAAGTAAAAAAAATACACTCAAATGTGTACTCTGCGGCGTTTTTGATGTCATTGTAGAGATGTTTTCCTTCAGTTTGGTCATTGAAAGTTTTTGAATGTTTTATTTTATTACCAGGTCTGCTGATAAAGTTTGAGCAGCATGATTGATTTGGAAGACTCGCGGTTTCTACATTTGAGTTTTTTTTAATTGAATCCTGTGTTTTTAAACTACATAAACATTGAAACTGAAAACATTTTAAAATAATTTTGGCTTGTAGGTTTTCGCCACCAAACGAATGTTTTTTTCCAAAACAAGTTCGTTCGAATCTGTATGTTTTGAACTTTAGTTATCCACAAAAGATAATACATTCTGTTCAACAGGCTGAACAGGAATTTTTGACTACAGTAACCGGAGAAGTTTTTCGTAAAGCTCTAATACACACCCTGACCGTTAATTTCAAGCTAAATGTAATTTACCTCGTTTCCTATGAAAAGTACCAAATAGTGCTAAACTGACAAATAATATTTTTAGAAAATCTGTCACTGGACCGTTTTTGGTACCTCTCTCTCAGAAACCAAGAAGAATAGGCTACGTACAATATTTCATTTTGCGACCTTTCAGTGAAAAACAGTCAACTTTATATCCCTGAAAAATATTTTGGAATTAGTCCATTGCTCAAAAAGTTGAGAAAAACAAAAAAGAAGCATACTTGCAAAATCAGGGCCGGGCTTGGCCGGGCCGGCCAAAGATTTCCAGGGCCCGGCCGGGTTCCAAATGTGAAAAAATGTTGAAATGTCAGAAATTTTTTCAAATTTTTTTGTGAAAGAACTATTTTTATGAAAACTTATCTTGAAAATGTTTTTCTTCTTAGAAAAATCGCCAATTTTTTTTCTCTGTTGACACCAAAAAACATTTTGAAAGACAGACAAATTTTTTTCCGAAAATCCGGGCTGAGACGGGCCGGGCCCTGAAAATTCTGAAAAAAGCCCGGCCCGTTGCAAGTATGAAAATAACTTCAAAATATAATTTTAATAAGTGCCTACAATGCCAAAATTAGCAATGAAAAGTGAGATGAGCTACTTCTAAACGGGTTATCTCGCTTCATCAAACTCAAATATAAAAGTTGTCAATTGCAAAAATGAAACATTACATTTGTTTAGTATACTCTGAAATTCTTGGGAAAAACGAAAAATTCTGAACAACTTTTGTAGAACTCCAAAGTTGACTATTTTTCACTGAGCACCGGTACTGTATGTGATAATGCTAGATTGTTAGAAGCAAAAATCGTTTTTTTTTTAACCAGACTATTTTTTCTTTGTTTTTTTTTTGAGACTACTGTCGTTTCCTGTTTGTAATCTGAAAGCAATTCCAAATCAATAATAATTGGATATACGTGGATTACAGCACGTCTATAGTGCGCGAAAAATTCAGCCACCCAGAACAGAAACAAGGTCGTTGTCGCACATCAATGAATCTATACCTTTTCCGAACCCTCCCCATTACCATCCTTCTGTTCTTTTTTCCGACCCGTCATTGCCTTTTGAAGTAAATCGGCGGGACCCACGATACGATCGCCCTTCTGACACATATTGCTTCATTTCTACCGTTTTCATTCCATCCTATCTTCTATTTTCATTCTACCGATTTTTAGGTCTATTCAAAAAGATTTCGTTTCGGTGTTTTATGAATCATAATCACGGTAGTTTCGATTCAAAACCACTGCGAATTTCCATATTCGTTGTGGTTTCGCTTGTAGTCGTAGTGTTGAAAGAATCAGTGTCGTGTTCTCAGTTTGATGACTAGTTTTTGTATTCACTTTTCAACTTAGATTTGTCTTTTGGATTTACGGCAAAAAAAACGAAAACGTTTACATTTTACCTAATTGGCAGAAAAAAAACTCCATTAGTATTTTTTTTGATTGCCTCAAATTACAAAATCTTTCCACTTTTGTTTTATTCTCTGGGTCTGTAGCGGAATGAAGAAATACAGTTTTCATCATTTTTTTTTCATAAAGTTTCGCATAAAGTTTGTCAACCGTTTCTGTATAAAATTAGAACATCATTCTTTGAGTGAGTGGGCGTTCCGTACCACTTTGTGTGCTTTGTTTTTTTCGATGTATTTTGCTTGAGAAATCTAGTTTTTGCAATATGATTTTAAAAAATTAAATTTGAAATTCTTTACAAAAAATTTGAAACCAACTAGTCGCATCAAATCGAGCTTTATAAAGATGTGGAGATGTTATCAAAGATAATGTTTTCTAGTCCGCGGCCAGCGCGTGAATACGGTATACTCTTTCCCCACATCTGACGTCACGCATATCAAAAAAAAAAACGAACACGCGATCGCCCTCTCCTCCTTCTTTTTCTTTTCTTTTACTCTTCTCTGCCCTTTTTGAGGGATGCCCTAGTAGCGGGCGCCCGAGTTGGCATCAACAGTCCCTCACCTCCCTCTCTCTCTCTCTCCCTATATGCCAACTTTCGTGCCGAGACCTAGTGACCCCAGGGGCGCTACGCACATTGGCAGTGGCGAGAGGTGTGAGAGGGGAAGGCTATTTGCATTAGTTGCGGCGGGCGCGGCGACACCATCAGTTACCTCTCTTCTTTCCTCTTTTCCTTTACTTGTTTTTTTGTCATTGATTCTGTTTGATTGGTTGAAGTGATTTGGTTCCGAAGTTCAAAGTGAGTTTTTCTCAATTTTAAGGCTGGATTTCCAGGTGCACCCGTCCCAAAAAACTGCTTGGAAATCGCGTCCCAAACAACTTTTAGGTCAGAAGAAATTTAATACGAACACAAAAAAAAGTGAGATCCTACATTTGCTGCGGCTCAATTTCGGACCAGGTTTCTTGAAACTCAGTAAAAATATAGAATCTTTACATAACCTGAAAAGTATGAGCTCAGTTTTAACTTTTCAGTCAAATTAGTGAGATTTCCACTTTATCAAAAGCACAACGTCTAGTCAAAACGGTTCGGAAGACGTTGATATGATTTCCAAATTTCTCTTCAGACGATCCAGCATTTTTTGGTGATTCTGATCGTTTTCGAACACAGCCCAATCGAATTCACCAGATTCTTTTATCTGGAATGTTCCTGAAACTTCCAAAATGAATTCATCAGATTCCCTGTTTTTGCAACAAAAAACTGTGCCCCGAAAGTGCAGATCCCGTCACAATAAAATACCTTTTTTCTGTTTCCAATTTTAGTCAATATTCACCTCTTCTCCGAATCGCATCACAAATTCAGTAACATGATTGACTTAACAGAGTCACAATACTCAGTTCGAAAAGTTCGAAAAGCTCGAAAAGCGAATACTCAGTTCGAAAAGCTGTTTAGTTTTTCAGCTTCTAGTTCACCTTCATTCGTTTTTGTGCTCTATTGTCGCCAAAGCCCTAGAAATGGAAGCAACGACTTTTTTGGACCTAGTCGAAGCCGACCGCGGTTGGTCGCGGCCAGTCATGATACAGACTTGCTAGCCTCTACTTTTTGAAAGAAGCTGATCAATGATGTTTGTTTTTCAAACCCCATTAAACGAAACTTCCTGTCTACTGAAAATAAGTTTTTGCAACAAAAAACTGTGCCCCGAAAGTGCAGATCCCGTCACAATAAAATACCTTTTTTTCTGTTTCCAATTTTAGTCAATATTCACCTCTTCTCCGAATCGCATCACAAATTCAGTAACATGATTGACTTAACAGAGTCACAATCGGATGCCCTTCCTTCCGAAACCTCTTCCTCCACTGCCTCGTTTTTTATATTTTCATTTCCCTTTTCTTCTCCACGAGATTTGTCTCTCTCCTCCTCTCCTCTTCTCCTTCCGTACCGTTTTTCCATCACCTACCAGTCTCTTCCATCGGCGGCCACCAACACCACTACCACTACCGTCGTCGCCGGTCGGGAAAAATAGAAGAGAAATAGAAGAAGGATGGTTGGTGGTGTCCATTCCACCTCACAAAACGCCGCCGCTGCGTGTTTCGCGTATATTGTCTCCCCCGCGTATTACATGCAATATTGTCAAACGTCTCCAGTCACTTTGGCATACTTTCGTTTACTACGTGTCGCCCGAATTACTGTACAAATAGAAGAGAGGAGAGAAAAGTTTGTGTAACCTTGTAAGGTAGAATCCAGAAATTCGGAGGCACAGTGAGTAAACATCATCCCGTAAAATGATTTTTCACTTTTGAAGTTTTGCGATTTGAACCAGAAATGGTAATTTTTGCAAAATCAAAAAACTGTTGTATCCAGTTTCAGCTTTGCTAGTTTGAACTAGTAAAATCATAGAAACTGCTTTTAGGCCCAAAGAAGTTTCTAGCATATTGTTTTGTAATTTGGTATACCGTAAGTGATTTGAGAGAATCCCACCTACCTGATGCATGAACTTTGAGCACAATTTTCTCGGTTCCTATGCGAAATATCAAAGATTTGCCAACTGATGAAATATTGGTAATTTCACGGAAAGCATTTTATCATTTGATAAATTTTTGATATCTTTGAGTTCAAAGTATATCTTTGAGTCCAAAATAGGTTGGGGATCTATAAGAGCTTTTATAGTAGTCTGTTTGGGCTTCGAACATTATCTTTGTCCTGAATTCAGAGTTAGGAAAAAAAAATTGGAAACTGAAATTCTGAATTCTGCGTAGCCAGAACTTCTCTCACTTTTAGATTACTTCTTAAACTTGGAATAGTCTTCACCTTATATCACCCGTAAATTCCAACCGTCCCAATTACCGAAAATCATAGTATCTATCTGTCAACTGATAAAATGTTTATCACATTATCACCAGCATTAAATTTGTTGACAAAATTTCCATATCTTTTATAGTTACAAAGATAATTGAGCTCAAAGTGCAGGTAGAAGGCGGGCTTCTATGTATTCAGGCATTTAAGATGATTTGTTTGAGCTTCAAACGTTCTCCATGACTTGAACTTAAAGTAAGGAAGTCTGAAGTTAAATCTCTGAATACTGTATAAAATCAAACTCCCTCACTTTCTGAATCATTCTTAATTTTTAAGCAGTTTTTACACTCTTGCTAGGAAAAGTAAGTATTAAAACCTTAGGTCTTTGAAGCTCTTAGTATCCCAAGCATAGTCTGGACCTTATATTCTCCACATTTCCTAATTGACCAGTTTCAATTATCTCAATGCAATAGAACATCCGAGAAAAAGTCACAACGGATCATGTCCGTTGGGTAGTCTTGCATGCAGATGTGCGCTCCGATCACTCTCGACAACTGCCTAATTGATTCCAATCAAGGTTGACCTTCCTCCGTTTCTTCTCTTCCGTCAAGCACATCATTAGTGTGACCTTCTCATCTGTTTCTTGTAGATTTTTGAAGAAAGAGGTGAAATTTTAAAAGGGTTTGGTTCTTTTTCACACAGTTGCATAGTTTTAGAATCATAGTATTATTATTTTCAGTTTGTTTCTTTGGCGCCTGTTGTTGCTTTTTTGTTTTTTTCTACTCTCCGTGAATCATTTCCTTACTTTCTTCTCCTCCATCGTTCAAAAAAAATATACCAAAAAAAGAAAAGAAAAAGAGTATCGTTGCTTTTTATACGGGGGGTTTTCCATAACGATAAATGTCGTTTAATGATCGCGGGGGACGATTTCCATTCCATTCCGTTTTCCCATCCACCTCTCCTCTCTTTTTGCATCATTGGCCGGTGGTTTTGATGCGAAAACGCGCCCTTGTCTTTCCATTCTACTCCAAATTCTTTTTTTTTGTCTTTTTCTCTTCTTCTCTCCTTACAGTTCTTGATCTCTGACTCTGTCTAGTGTTGTTTTCGACATTTTCGATCTTTCTAATCCGGATGCCTTCAATTTTCGTACGAAGTTCTAAACTAAAAATACGTTTTTCAGGGTTTCACAGCTCTCAGAATGATTGGGGTTCTTCTTCCGTATGTGCGAAAATTCCAGTAAGTATTATTTCCCGACTTCTCCAACATTTAAAGCCGACGAAACATATCCCAATATTATTCCAGACGCTCCGCCGAATCCAATGACATTGTCGACCGCTTTTCCTACCAGTACACTTCGACCCTCTTGGGATTCTCCGCTATCATGATGGCTGCTTCTCAATACGTGGGACGTCCAATCCAGTGTTGGGTGCCAGCTCAGTTCACCAGAACATGGGAGAAATACGCTGAAACTTACTGCTTCATCAAGGGAACGTACTTTTTGCCAGGTGCATTTGCCAGCGAGGAAGAAGTCTCTGTCACGTCACCGGATGATACTGTCACTGCTACTCCGGTGAGTTTTTGTAGCAGTTTTCATAGTTCTCCCTAGTCCTACCATCTTCCATAAACTCTGTAATAGGAGTCAAGTTTGAGCGCATGTATCTCATTTCCTGTATGAGATATCAGAAATTGGTCAACTGACAAAATATTGTTGCTATTATGCTAAGCATTTTATCAGTTTATTTATTTATTTATTGATTACGACCTTCCGTCGTGGAAAAAGAGAAAAAAGATAAAAGGAATACAATACAATCACACAAAACACAGATACACGAATAACTAGACAACACATTCAATTAAAGTGGGGAACCGAATAGTAACACTATTTCCAAATAATAGCACATAACCATCAACAGATACACGCATACAGAATAAAAATTATACCTACAATAATGATTAACAGAAATAATAAATTATTTTACAACTTAGAGAGAGGGGGCCTTGGGTTCTCAATTAGACTCAGAGTGCGGTTGACAAAGAAGTTTCGCCTTAGTTTAGACTTAGGAATGGGCCAGAGAAATCGTGTCTTTCTTCTAGTACGTGTTTCAGTTGACGCGAAAAATGATACCATTTTCCTGTCTATTGCTAAGTTTACTACTTTTACATGTCTTTCACAGAAACCGAGATATTTGGGCTCAACGCTGAAGGGGTTGGTGGCCTGCTATTAGAGTGTGTACCGTAAATCAACAATATACATTTTCAGCACGTTGGATACTACCAATGGATCCCCATCATTCTCTTCATTCAAGCTCTTTGCTTCTATCTTCCTTCTATCATCTGGAGAACTTTCAATGAAAACGGAGGTACACTCTTTCATTCATTAATATCAATCTTGTAACTCCAATTTCTGATTTCAGAACTCAAAATCAAGGAGCTCGCGGCTGTTTCCGAGGCTTCTCGCAAAATCAAATCCAACATGAGCGACGACCAGGTCAAAGGAAGAAAGTTCGGAAGATACTTCTTCAAAAAGCTTATTTTCCGTAACGAAGCCACCGTCTTCAAGAATTCCGGCGTTGCGGCATCTGGAAAGTTCTTGCCGCTCCTCTTCCTGTTTACTAAGCTCATGTATCTTGCAAACATCGTTCTTCAATTCTGGATTCTCACCTATTGCCTTGAGACGAAGAGCTGGATGTGGGGTTGGCAAACTTTCCAGGTATGTTTTTCTCTGAAAATATAGGTGGCAAATCATCTTATTTCTAGGATCTTGTGGCTGGACGTGAGTGGGAAACCACCGGAATCTTCCCGCGTGTCACAATGTGCGACTTCTCAATCATGGATCTGACCACAGTTCACGACCACAGCATTCAATGCGTCATTGTCATCAATATGCTTGCCGAGAAAGTATATGTATTCTTCTGGTTCTGGCTTCTTTTTGTTGGAGTTCTGACTGGACTCTCCTTCGCCTACTGGACTGTTATGTACATGTTGCAGAGCATCGGACGTAACTTTATCTACAGGTCAGTATGATGGAAAGTAAATAATATTATGCTGTTGATCAGAGGACAAAAAAATTACTGGTAAATTGTTCATCACAATATTAAAAATATTCTATCAGGTGGCATATTTTTGATATCTCTTATAGGCGTCCAGATAATTGAGCTCAAACTTAACAGTGTGGGGGCACTTCCATCACAGGTTTTAAGGTAGTAGTTGTTTGGGTTTTTAATGCAAAGCAAAGAAAAATCAGCAATTTTTGGTGAAGCGGCAATAGGGCAATAGAAAAAGTTGGAGTTTTTTAGGTCATTCCTGTTACTCCACCGCCTTTCGTGTCCGAAAAATTCCTGATGTGTTTCCCTCCTCACATCACAGAAAGTTTGTTAAGATTTGAGCAGTTTCTGCGTAAGGAAAACTGTAATAACTTTGAGCTTGACTATCTTGATTTCTATGAAAGATACCAAAAAACTGTCAACTGATAAAATTTTGGTGATATTAGGATGAACATTTTATTAGTTGACAAATTTCCGATATCTTTCACATGAATAGAGATAATTGAGCCAGAAGTTGACGGCGTGGATGGTTTTTATCGAAGGAAATACGGTATTAAAGAGGGATATTAAGAATTCAAAATGTACTTGGATTCCACTGGATCAAAACACCATTAATTTTTTTTGATTGAACTTTTAGTAATAAAACAGTTTGGCTAATGTAGTCTAAATTCTATCATTTTCTGGTTGGACTATATCTATCTGACAGTAATAAACCAACTTTTCATTTTCAGCTACCTTCAAAGTGCTCCATCCTTCCAAAAAGAACAAGAGAACATCAGCGTTGTCCCAGCCCAATTCGTCGATAACTTCCTCCACGCTGACGGTGTGTTCATCTCTCGTCTTGTCCAACAAAACTCCGGAGATCTGTTCACCAGCATCATGCTCGAAGAGATGTTCAACCTCTACAGACAACGAGAAGCCGAGAAAGCTCACAAGAAGGAGGATGACAGTGCTCTTCCAGTTGATTCTGCTCCAACCCAGCTGAAGGAGGAAGACGATGATGATATCCCACTCCCACCACCAACCAAGGCAACTGTTGAGACTCTGTCCAGTGACGACGAAGACGATGACGATGTGGACAGCCCGGATACCACTGCCACTCTTCCCCGTTAGATTGTTTTCTATGATCAATGTGCATTTCTGAAATGTTAGAAATGCGAACCAGTTCAAATGCCTTATTACTATCATCATTTTTCATCTCTGGTTTTGTTTTCTCTCCCCCAAATTTCTTTCTTGTTGATTAGGACCTCTAATCAGTCTATCATAATAGGATACCAAATTACCCTTTCTCTTCTCTCTTCACGGTTCATTCTGTACACCGTTTTCTTGTTGTTCATCAACTAATAGACTATTACGTGCCTCAATTGATTCCCAGAAATTGAATTTCATTTTGTTTTTTGGTTCGTTCATGCGACTTGCACTTTAATAAATGGGATTTCGACGATGATTTGTTCTGAAAAACATGTTTCTTTGATAAAAGTCAATAATCCATACTATTGGTGCTCTTTGTCTCCTCGTGCGCGCAAGTGGACAAGGAGGGCCTTTTTCCCAGGAGGCAAGAAAACAAAGAAAACAAAAAAAAACTGTTTTGCAAGGAAAACAAAAACTGTTTTCCCCGGTACCTGTGCCTTTCGCTGTCTCTAAAACTTTTAGGGCCGGTTTTATCTTCTCTTACATTTTAGTTTCTTACATTTAGCAGATATGCCACAATTCTATTATTTCTGTTTCAGATGGATTCTCGCTTCCAATTCTCTTCTTCATCATCATGTTTCAATCGTCCCACAAAACTGTCCAAAAACGTCAAATTTGAGTTTTCGAGTCAGGAAATCGCATTGGATCGTTTCAGTGAGTTGACTCTGGTGAAAACTTATTTTTCATATTTATTAATTACGAAAAACGTCTAAAAACAATAAAGTTGTTTTATTGGTTAACAAATTGGCCTCGTACAAATTTTTTGAGTTTTCAGATGATGTCATGAAAATGTTTCTTTTTGAACCTAATCATAATATGTGTCAAAAATTTAGAAAAAAACGAAATTAAATTAACTTGATCAAGTCAAGATTTTTTTCAACTGATTATTGTTTCTTCCAGACACCACCCGAATGGAACCTTTCTTCTCCATTGGCCACACTATTGGAAAGCAACTTAGTAAATTATGCGACGACTTTGACAAGGAGATGATGGCGCATGCTCACAAAACGTCGATCGTTGCAACTGTGAAATCGCTATGGAACGTCATGTTCACCAACTTCTCTCCCCAAGAAGCTTTTTGTTTTGACGTAAAAAACAAGAACAGTAAGTTCGATTTCTGTGAATACTGTATCTCCTCTGTTGGAAGCTCGCCCAAACCGTCAATTTTGAGCTCAACTAGCTCGATTCTCGTGAAAAATATCAAACATTTTTCAACTGGCAAATTATTCATCAAATTATCACCAAAATACTGTCAGTTGACAAAATTTCGATATTTTCATGAGGAATCGAGATAATCGAGCTAAAAGTTAACAATTCGGATAAGTTTTCATTAGAGTGAATGCGGTTCAAACAATGAATTTCGTCAAAATTTTGGCGGCTGTGAAATTATTTAGCCAAGTTGTCGTTTTTTATAACAATTTTGAATTTCTAGTATATAATAAATTTTCCAGGCCGCACTCGTCGCCATTGCTCCGTTATTGCCAAGCGTTGCCGAGTTCTCTTCTCCAAAGTTTTCAATTTCATCATCAAGTGTTAATCCATTCAATATGATGTAATATTTGTGTTAATTCGTGATTCTCCTCAAATCTCTGTTGCTTTAATGTTGCCGGTGATTGTTTGATTTTTTACTAGAATTTCCAGTTTAATGAACTTTGTTGTGATATTTTTTCTGGAGTTCATATTTGTGTAAAATGTAGGTTACTATGAAAAAACCACTTGCTAATTGTTTTTGACTTTGGAGCAGTAGGACAAAAACATAATTAGGTTTTTTCTGTGTATGCCAGGCTTGGAACATACAAATATGAACTTTTAAGATTTTTGGAAAACTCCAAAAAAAACATGGGCCCAGAAAGATAAAACCCTGTGACAGCAAACTGGTAAAAATCTATCAAAGTCAGAGAATCTCATATATCCGACTACGCGGGTCATTTCGCACATACATCACCTATTCATACACAATATGCGTTGGTCCGCCAATCAGTGTGTATAGAACGTTTACGCAATCTGCAAGAGGTCACCATTCCGTCAAACCCTCTTCACTTCACACACTCTCTGATCCAAGAGCGAACGGCAACATTTGGCTGCCCACTCGTCTCAGCACCCCGTCGCGTCTTTTCTCCCGTCTTCTCCCTACACACATTATCCGCATCCTCTCTCGCGAGATAATTGATTTTGTCTGCCTATTCCTACTCTCAGTAGCTCACTAGTTTTTTAAATGCTCAGCAAACTTGCACGGATTTTGCCCAATATTCCGAAAATCTGCAGAAACTTGAAAGGCAAGAAGAAAAAGAAATGCGAACGATTTCCGTTGCTTTGCCTTCCTAGACTAATACTGGAAATGGTTGTGAACCAGCTGGAATCGCCTGATCTGTAAGTTTTTATATTTAATTTTTCGTAAAACACAGTATTTCTAAATTTTTTCCTAACAATCGTTCTATAATATGCTTTTTTCAGGCTGAATCTGTCTATTTGCTCTAACAGATCTACACTGCGAGTCTGCCAAGCGTCACCGAAGAACTGTGCAGAGTCTGTCTCAATTTATTTGAAAAAACCAAATCCTAGCATCAAAATTACGTTTTTTGGATTCCGAAAACCACTTGAATGGGTTTTCTGTTTTGAAGAAGATTTTAGTCAGAAGTATATTCACAGAAATTTAGTCGTGTCCGAATATCACTACATTACTGCCCACCACAAAAATAGTCCGGAACAAATTATGTGTCGAAATGCGGACGTAGTGGAGGGATTTCTGAAAATTCTTGAATTTTTCCTCAAAATTTTTCCCGTTCGACTAAAAATTGGAGTGCAACCAAATATCGGCGGTCTTCAAATACTGTTCAAATCAAATATTTTTGCTCAATGTTCGGAAATGAAGCTAACACGAAGTCTGGAAAATCACGCCTTCAACCGACAAGAGTTAGGAGCAATTTTTAAGAAAATCAAAGTATTAGACAAACTGGAAGTTATTGCTCACGCGGATTATGTAATCCGACAAGTAAGCGATATTTGTTGTGAATTTACTTCAGAATCTATTGAGTTTCAGGCATTCATCGTCGACCATGTTACACTGGCTCACGCAACATGGATGTGTGAACATGATCTGTTCCGATTAAATTGTCGAAGTGCAAGATTCCTGAATCACACTTTTCAACTGGATGATATCGAGGACTTGGCTCTGCAATGGCTTGCAAAACCATACACTCCACGATTAGAAAGAATGGAATTCGAGTGGGATCCTCTAGTGGAAATTCAGTTTTTCACACTGGAAACAACGAAGTGGGACAAAAACAAAAGATCCAGATGTTGCTAGTGAGTTTTGATTTCCGTTTCCAAATAATAGAAAGGAGAGCCTGTATTGAAAAAGATGACACTTTTCCCCAAAAAGTTACCTCCGGTCTCATTGACTATAACAGCAATGCCGACATGACAGCAGTGGCCTGATTATGTCTATCACTTTCCCATCCCCTTTCATATCTAAATCATGTGCTTAAATATTCGTTTAAAAAGATGAACAAATTATTACTATGAGGAATCTAGAAACATTTTTAAAAAATCTGGAAAAGTAGTTTAAAATTATGTAGATTATCTGAGCTTCAAAGGTTTTTAGATTTCATACTTCTGAGACCTTGAGATTTTCAAAAAGTGTCCAAGGGGGTGGGGCAGTGGTCGAAGGGATCTGTTCGCGGTCGTCATGTTGGGACCAAATGATCTATGGCACAAGTCTTACTGTGTTCCAGATTTTCGTATTTTGATTAATACTTGATCATTTTTTTCAGTAAAATCCACCAACGAGGAATCTTCGACTGCTCTGAAACGTTCGATTTCACAAGACCTGACGGCTTGATGGCCAGTATCGGAGTCGTCGAACGAGGCATTTCTCTACCTTGATCTTCTATGTTTGGCATGATCGATTTCCAACAAGAAATCAGCAAAATCGGCTGAAAAAACGGTTGAACGAGTTGCAAGTACAACAACGCGACATCAATCGACGACTTGGTGACGGGAATGATTTTGAGCAAAGCTTGACTAATCCAAATCTATCAGCGGCAACGTTTGAAAATTACATGATTCAAGCTTACAATCTACGAAAACCGCGTGGAAGTTCCAAAAAACTGGAGGAATGGTACAAGTTCCATTGCGAAATTCTTGATGTGAAAAAGCAAATTGAAAGTTTGGAATGATAAAGCCGGATAAGTCGATCTTCATGCGTGTTTTGTAATAATCTCATTTTTGTATATTGGAAAAGACACAGATGTTGTAAAATCTGTATTATAATTTCGTGATTTGGAAAAAAAGTTTAATAAATTAATTCACATTTTTTTACAGCAGATAGAATATCGAAAAATCTTGCAATTGAAAAATGTATCGATTAAAAAAATAGAAATGATTCTTAAATTCAATGTATAGCGTGATAAGAGGGTCATAAGTTTTTAAATAAATTTTTTAAAGCAAAAAATTTGTTACGGGTGCTCCACCTGTTGAAATAGTAACCGCATGCGGACCTTACCAAAATCGCTTTCAGAAAATGATAATCCAATTTTCCGTATTCGGTCGTTCTCAAAAGTGGATCACCTGACAGAGAACGTGTGAATTTCCCACAGGGCACAAAGAAGACATTTTTGGAATACATATAAGGGCTGATTATAATTCTTGAAAAATATAGTTTGGTCACTTCCATTTCTAAATTCTATTTGGAATCACAATTTTTTGTAGTTTGAATACCAAACTGAATCCAACAAAAATCCTTTTTTGTATCTAAAAATTCTCGTATGTGTTATCTAACTAAGTTTTTTGAAGATGTATTTTTCTCAGAATTGTACTTGATCCTTCTGAAACTCAAAAGAAAAACCACGAAAAATACTAAATATTATAACAGTCACCAACTTTATTATGTTATTTTATCTGAAACATGAAAAGTAGAAAGAAGAAAAACTTCAAAAACAAAAGGAACGGATTAAGGGGAAAGAGCAAAATCGGTGGAAATCAAAACACTGTTAATACGGTTAAGGAGAGAAATCATTCGGAATCGGCATGTGGTCAGACAAGTCAGTGTTCTTGTTCGTCTCGATCACATTGCGGTTGAACTTCAGGAACTCCTCGAGTGGTTTTGGTACATTGCAGCCGGACTCATTACAAAGGCACCTCATAGCCGTGCTTGGTGAAAGTGGCGGCTTGAGGAGTTGGAGTTTCTGTAAATAAAATGATCTCAAACTGTCGCTGATAACTTGTTTTCTCACTTCTATCGCACAGATGACAATTGCTTCGTAGTCCTCCTCGGAATCCTTCTCTGAATCTTCGAACACCAAGAGCAGTGGATCATAATACTCCGACTCGAGTCCATTGACAGCGAAGGACGCGAAGTCGTTTCCTTCGGAGTTGATGAGAGTGATGTAAGAGCTAAGGGTGAAGATAGGCTTGCTTAGAATGAACCCCCTAGTCGCATTGACTGGATCGACTGGCTCCCAGCATTGGAGACGTTGATCTTCCTGTTGATGAGCATCCTCGACGAGTGTTTCTGGAGCTGTGTTTCTGGAGCATTGTGAGTGTGGGTTTCTTGCTCTTCTGTAGAATCCGAGTAGGCGTCCGAAGAAACCTTGAAGGTGCCGATTTCACGAGCGTTGAGGTTGATGGAGGTTATGGTTTCATCGGAAGAGAAGTCGTCTGATGAAGAGTCATCAATGTCCCCAAATGTAGAGGTGATGTTGTCTGAAGAGACAGTAGAATTGAGCCTAGGGGAAACGGCAGAAGTAGAGTTGTTCTCACCAGAGGCGACGACGAAAGCGATGGCAATCGTAGCGATGGTGAAGAATCGCATGTCTGTAAGTTTCAATTTTAGTGTAAGTGAAGAAGAGAAGCGAGAAGAGCAGGAATTTTATCAACAATGTATTATATGAGCAGTGGCTCCCAAAAGAGCTTTGATGAGAACTTTAGTGCTTTCTTTCTTTTATACTAAAAGTCGCACAGAGGCGGCGCCGAAATGTAAAAGGAGCGCGGACTAAAAGGGGCGGGAGAAGACAAATAATAAAGCAGACACGCGGTGGTTCGTTGTTCGTTCGCACACATTTTTGAACTCTGTTCAACATTTTGAAAATGTTCGCTGTTCACATTTTTTATCTTACTTGTCAGAATGTTAGTGTTAATTATATAGCACAAATTCTGAAATTCGAACAGTTGGAATTTCAATTTCCGGGAGCGGCAGTATAACGTATGTTTCAGAGAAATAGGTTTAACTGTGAATTTTTTCCTCGTTTTGATCACCCGAGAAAAATCAATCGGCCAATGTTGGCTCGGAAGTTCGTTGAAAAAACTCTGAAAAACTCATGTCTCCGCTCATTTGTTTTCAAGTCTTGAGTAATTAGTGGTGTCTGAAACGGCTTGATACAGACTGGAAAAAATAGATAAGTTTCTGATACTTTCAAAAGTTCTGTTGGGATTGGATCATTCCATATACTAAGACTGAAAGAAAAATGATCACACGGTTTTGCATTTTCTCATCACAAGGCTTATCCATCTTCTAAGAAATTTTTACAAAAAATCTATTGATGCTAGAAAATCTAGCAGACACCTATGCGGATCCATTCGCGTACATGTATTTCTTCTTATGGTGTTTCATCAACTTTAGGGTTTATCTTCTATTTTTTTTCCTTCTTTTACCATAGACTGGTTAATGAAACATTAATTATCAAACTCGAGAAAAAATTTTCTTAATTCCATATCATGGAATTGCTCGATTCTGAATCATGAGAGTCAAACTATAAAGAAGAAATGCCTCAAAAGTTAACCTGATACGAAAATTACAAGCACAAAAATGAAAATTTTTGAATACATGTAACGTCTGAATATAATTTTTGAAAAATGTAGTTTAGTATTTCTCATTTCTGAATTGTATTTTGAATCACAACTTTTTGTAGTTTGTAAACCTAACTAAATTAAACGAAAATTATTTTCTGTATCTGAAAATTCTCGTGCAATTTCCGAAAATGTATTTCTCTTTGAATTTCACTTGATCCGTCGGAAACTGGGAAAGAAACTACAACAAAACAATGAATAACGGTTACCAACTTTATTATGTTCATTTTTCTGATATATGGAAAATAGAAAGAAGAAAAATGTAGGAAAAAAGAAACAGATTATGGAGGTAAAAACAGGATAGGTGGAAATTAAGACATTGGAAACAAGGATGAAGAGAGAAGTTATTCGGAATCGGCATTAGTGGTCAGTCAAGTCAGTGGCATTGTTCTTCTCGGGGAATACATTGCGATTGAACTTCAAGAACTCCTCGAGTGGTTCAGGGACATTGCAGCCGGACTGGTTGCAAAGGCACCTCATAGCCGTGCTTGGTGGATGTGGCGGCTTGTGGAGTTGGAGTTTCTGCAAATAAAATGATTTCAAACTGTGGATAATTATTTGTTTTCTCACTTCTATAGCACAGATGACGATTGCTTCGTAGTCCTCCTCGGAGTTCTTCTCTGAATAATCGAAGACCGAGAGCAGTGGGTCGTAGTATTCCGACCCGACCCCATTTACTGCAAAAGTCTCGAATTTGATTCCTTTGGAGTTCAGAGGGATGTAAGAGCAGAGGGTGAAGATAGGCTTGCTTAGAATGGAAGCACTAGTAGCATTGACCGGATCGAGAGGTTCCCAGCATTGGAGTAGTCTATCTTCCTGTTGATGAGCCTCCTAGACGAGTGTTCCTCGAGATTGGAAAGTGTTGATTCCCTGCTCTTCTATAGAATCAGAGTAGACAGCCGAAGAAACCTGGAAAGTGCCGATTCCATGAGCGTTGGTGATGATGGAGGTGATGGTTTCATCGGAGAAGAAGTCATCTGAGAAAGAGTCATCAATGTTTTCAAATGTAGAGGCGATTTTGTCTGAAGAGACTGCTGCAGTAGAATTGATTTCAGAGGTGACGGAATCAGTAGAGTTGTCCTCACCAGAGACGACAACGAAAGCAATGATAATCGTAGCAATGATGAACAAACGCATGTCTGAAAGTTTCAAATTAAGGTTTAGTGAGAAGGAAGGCAAGAAGAGCAGAATAATTTGTGCAATGTATTATATGAGCAGTGGTGCCCATAAGAGTTGTGATAAGAACTTCAGTGCTCTCTTTCTTTTATACTAAAAATCTCCCAGAGGCGGCGCCGAAATGTAAAAGGAGCGCGGACTAAAAGGGGCGGGAGAAGACAAATAATAAAGCAGACATTATACATTTGAAGAGTCTGAAAATTGGAGTAGTTAGAGATTAAGGAGACTGTCACGCTGTCTGGCACGTTGACTGGCATGCGGTGGTTCGTTGTTCGTTCGCACACATTTTTGAACTCTGTTCCATATTCATTTTTGAACTCTGTTCCATATTCTTCTGAAAATGTTCGTTGTTCACATTGTTGATCTTACGAACTATCTGCAAAAGTGTGACTACTAATCACTGAAAGAGTTCGAGTTTTACAGAAACACGAAACCAGGAAATGTACGAGAAACATATTCAATATGCGATATGAACAAAGAAGAGGCAGTTTTCTACAGAGCTAACAAAAGTTGCTCTCTAGTTTTTTTTTGCCTGTTCTGTGTTTCGATATGGAACATGTGAATTTTTTCTTGTTCTGAGCACGAATCTGGAGAACCAGTGTTCATATTGACTTTCAGAATGCCATAGCTGATTATACAGCGAGGAACCTGTAATTTGAACAATTGAAATGACAATTTTCTGAATAAACAGTTGTTATAATATCTGTTTCGAAATCAAAAGGTTTATTGTAGATTTTTCGCCCGTTTTTTCGAAAAAAAAACTTCGGTAAATCTCCTATCTTTTTTTTATTGACCACTCAATATTTGAAGTAATGAAAAAATTGGCATTGCCTGAAACAGCGTAAAACATTCCGAAAAAAAACTAGACATGTTGCTCATATGTAGCTTCAGATGATCTGTTGGTTATTGGCTTGTTCTAAGGACTTATACAGAAAGCCTCCTATACACTGCGCGCCAAAATTATGGAGCCACTTCAATTTTTGTAATTTTTCTGATATTCATGAAAGTTTCAGAATCCTTTCCAATGGCGATAAATATCATCCTCGAATCTGAAAATGTAAATAACATTCAATTTTAGATAGTGAAGCAACGGTTTGAAAAAATTAAACAATGTCAAAAAAGTTCATTTTTCATTGCGCCATAATTATGGAGCCACTTCAAAAATCTTGCCATCATCACGATTTCTTCGCTGTAAAAAGTAGATATTCAAATTTTCCGCTAAAAAGTGATGTTTCCAAAGCAATTTCTAATCTAATTTCAGTAGAAAAGTTTTCTGTTAGAAATGATTTTCGAAATTTTTTTCAAAAAAAATGGAAGGTTTGCAAAAAACAATTTTTTTCCTTTTCCAAATTTTTTTAGGATTTTATAAGGTACCGTAAAACCTGTAATAGAAGTGCCCCCGGACTTTCAACTTTGAGCTCAATTATCTCGGTTCCTGATAAAGATATAAAAAATGTGTCAACTGATAAATTGTTCATCATGATAGCAGCA